AAGAAACGAGACATCCTGCTGCACTACGAATCGAGCACATTTCCCCGCAGGCATATCGGACGAGCGCACTCCGAAAATGGAGTGTATGTCCTAGATTTTGACATTCTCGACTGTAGCGGCGACTCGCACGAGTTGATTGATCTCGTGCCACTGCGCTTCGAGCACATCCACCGCAGGGATTGGAAGCACCCTGACGGCAGACCGTGGCTGCCGCATCATCCCCACCCATGCGAAACGGCGTTACACAACCCCAATCCAGATGGCATCGACAGGGATTGTTACACGCCGACGACATCAACAAGCGCGATTGCCGGCCGCGAACTCGCCGCCATCGCTGAAGCAGAGCGCCACGCGCCCCCAGAGGAAGGGATGACGCAGCTCGAGCTTGAAGTAACCACCCACGGCATCTTCGGCACGCCAGAGCATCCCCTCATCGGTCCCCCCTCACAGCACCTCCAAGGCATGCTGCGCGGATTCGGCGTTGGCACCTTTGATGCCCATGGCGAGCCGTGACCCTACACCTACGAGAGGTTTTTGGCCATCTACTCTCATCGACGCAACTCATCGAAGAAACTCACAGCGGAGCAAGAGGAAGAATTGGCGCGCCGCGAAGCTGAGGAGCTTCGCTAGCAAAGCCTCGCATAAGCACGTGGGACCTTCGCTTGCGCCACCTGGGGAGCTGAGGCTGAAGAAAGTGCCTCCAATGAAGGGGGGTGGGGGAGCGCTGGAGGATGAGGAACAAGTGACACTGGCGGCTGGGGAGACACCGACGGAACCTGGGCCAACGCGAGCGGCGGATGGGGCGCCACAACTAGCGCCGACAATAGCGGCTGGGGTACTTTCCGCGAAGAACGAAAGGGGGGAGAGGACGAAACTGAGGAAACTGAGGCAACACCTGCAGTCGTTCCTCTTGGCCGTCCCCCGCGTCACTTTCCACTCGCACCACCTCTTCCCGACAACCCCCCGCGTCGCGATCCATGGGACACCATCATCTGGGGCAACGAGCCGTCAACCCCGCGTTGCACCGTCTACGGACCTGCCCCTGAGCCACGCGAACCGGCGTTTGTACTTGGCACGATCCCCGGGACCAACATTCCGCTCTCTGAGATTCGTGACAGAGAGTTCTTGGCGCTGATGCTGACCACCGCGCTGGAAGAAGAAGAAGCAGAGGGAGTAGCAGCAGAACCTACTCCTGTACCTGACGAAGACCCTGAGGAAGCATGCACACGCTACATACGCACGTCCGGCTTTTGCGTTGACGATACTCTCTGGCACCAGCGCCTCGGACACCCTTCACATGCGACGCTGAAAAACTGCATCGACGCAGGCGTCTTCGCTCCTGGCGCACTCCTGCGCCCTGATGGCTCCGAAGTGAGAGGCACGACACATCCGCGCAACTGCACCGTCTGCCCCGAAGCTACGCTGAGCCACCAACCGTTCCCACTGCTCGAACCTGGAACGAACCGCTACCCCAAGATACACAAGGCGTACAGCGATTTCCTGAACGTGGGGCATTGCGGAGCCAAGGATGAAATGTACACGCTCGCCTTCATCAACGCTAGAACGCGCTACGTGTGGGTCGTGAACGTGGAGTCACGCGACAGAGCCTACGTGGTGTTTCGCCTCTGGCTGGCGCACGCAGAGCGACAGTCTGGGAAGAAGTTGAAAATCTAGCAATCTGACGGCGCGACAGAATTCAGGAGCAACCAGATGCAAACCTACCTCACGCAAAAGGGGATCGAGCACCATATTTCTCTCCCCTACGCGCACCAGCAGCAGGGCGTAGCTGAGCGGACGAACCGCACGCTAATGACGAAGGTGCGCGCGCTGATGAAGCAGTCGAAATTGCCGCCGATCTACTGGACCTACGCAATGCACCACGCAGTGCGGGTGAACAACCTACTCTCGACCACCGCCATCACCGGCAATCTGTCCCCGCACGTCAAATGGACCGGGACCAAAGGGGATACCTCCATGCTGCGCGTATGGGGGTGCATGGTTCAATACCGCCCGCCGACCTCAACCATCGGCAAATTCGCCAGCCGCGCTCGCTGGGGGATCCATCTCGGCATCAGTCATGAGTACAAGGCGTGGATCATGCTGGACCTCCTCAGTTAGAAAATCGCTCACGCTCGCGACGTCATCTTCTACGAGCGCCTCTTCTTCGACCAGTTCCGCCGCGACGAAGAAACGAACGCGAACCGCGTCTACGCGAACGATGGGCACAGCTACGCAACGCCCGCTGCAGCAATCTTGGAGCAGGACACGAGGGGCGAGTTCGTGTGGGAAGAACGACGCACCAGCAACGACGACGACGACGATTCCTCGGGAGGAGGAATGGGCGCAGCAGGCGGAAGCGGAACAGGCGGAAGCGGCAGAGGCACAGCACCACCAGCGCCTCCTGAACCAGAAAGCGATGACGACAACGTACAGGAAGTCATCCCGCAACGTCGCCACGACAGCACTATCTCAGGACTGCAGCTGCTCCGGCTCCACACCGCAACTTCGAAGGCGCCACGTGTCATCGAGCCCCGAAATCCGTGCGAAGCTCTTTTTGGACCACACAGCAAGGAGTGGCGCGAAGCAATGGATGCGGAAATCCGGGCACTCGAGTCGCGCGACACCTGGGTGCTCGTCGACCGTGCAGCAGTAAAGGGGAGAAGGATTCTCTCCGGCAAATGGGTCTTCCGAGTGAAGACAGGAGCCGACGGAAAGATTGAGCGATTCAAGGCACGCTGGGTGGTACGCGGCTACGATCAAAGGCACGGGATTGATTTTGACCAGACATTTGCACCGGTCAGCCGTCACACGTCCGTCAAAATTCTCCTCGCCATCGCAGCCGCACGACACCTACCACTCCGGCAGATCGATGTGAAGAATGCGTTCCTGTACGCATTAGTGGACGCCGTGATCTACGTGGAACAGCCACACACTTACGGCGACGGAGACCCAGGTGTCTGTCAGCTACGCAATTCCCTCTATGGGATCAAACAGGCACCGAGACTCTGGCAGCAGTATCTGCACAACATACTGCTTGAAATCGGGTTCAAGTAGCTGCCTCACGATCCTGGAATGTATCGCCGCGATTTCCGCGGCGAATATATCCTCCTCACGGTCTACGTCAACGACCTTCTCTACACAGGCTCAAGGAACGAACTACTCGAGCAGTTTGAGAGAAGCCTCGCAGGGCGCGTCGACATCACCTACAATCATGACGTGAAGCAGTTTCTCGGACTCAACATCACCTACTCGCCGGAAGCCATTCATCTCTCAGCAGCGAAGTATGCGGAGGAGCTTAGCAAGCGCTTCAACATTGCGCCTGCACCACTCTCCACCCCTTACCGCACTCCAGAACCCAACCACAAGCTTGACAGCAAAGCCCTGTCCCCTGCTGGGCTTCACACTTACCAGCAGCAGTTGGGATGCCTACTTTTCGCATCTGTTACCTGCAGGCCCGACCTCTCCTACATTGCGAGCCAGTACTCACGCAAACCAACGGCTGAGAATCTCTCAAACCTTCAGCGAGCCCTTCAATTCTTCATCTCCATGCCCAATGTCGAGCTCGGTTATTCCACCATCCCAACCACATCCTTCAGTCTCGTCGGCTACGTGGATGCCGATCACGCCGCTGACCCTGACAATCGACGGTCCAGGACAGGGTTCCTCTTCCGCCTCGAGCCCAGCGGCCCCATCTCCTGGAACTCTCAGAAGCAGGAGTTGGTTGCCCTGTCATCGGCGGAAGCTGAATTTATCGCAGCAACAGCAGCTGTTCGCGAAGGTCTTTACCTTCAGGAACTGCTGCAGAAAGCGAAAATTCAGGCCTCAACGAACTTTCGCCTCCACTACGACAACCAGAGCGTGATTCGCATCGCGAACAAACCTGGTTTCGTCAACCGCACCAAGCACATTGCGCTGCGGTACTTCTTCGTGAAGGATGAGGTGGACAAGGGCAAGGTCAACTTGACCTACTGTCCGACCGGTGACATGGCAGCAGACTTCCTCACGAAGCGATTGCCACGCCAGCAGTATCAGCTTTGCTCCGAACTCAGCGGCGTGGTCAAGCAGGTCAAGTCTAGCTGCGGCCAGGAGTGAAGGGGGGTGTTACAAATAGTAATACTTGAATATTACTGTGCACTCCTCACTGCAGCAAAGAGAAGCACGCAGTATCGCGAATGAACGCGAAGCGTCAGACAGTTGGAAACGACCCGAAGCGTCAGACAGTTGGGACGCATCTGAACCGTCGGAGCAGACAGCATCAGGCAGCTGCAGGCAGGATGGTTTCGGCGGGAACAGTTTCGTAACTGTTCGCGCCGCACGGTTGGGAATGTACCCCTTAGAGTACATGGCTAGCTAGGTCGATTCATATTCCCCTGTACTCTTATTTATATCGTTGTATTTGCATGTCTTTATCATCTCAAGCATTTACATTCACTCTGCTATTGAGGTCAAGGGCCCACCAACATCACTCCTCTGCGTGCGAACCTTCCTGAGTAGATCCTAGGCCACGATCAACTTCTGATCTCAGCAGAAGGATCGCACGCCAACTGAGGATAGCTGGGTGCCCCTAGCCAACATTGAAAACCACCCTGCCCTGCAAATGTACCTGAGGAGCCGGGGTTTCCACGATATACACGCACTCGCGTAGCGGAGGGGGTTTCTTGAGGGTGGGGGTAGTGTAAGGAATTTTCTCGATAATCCAAAGCGCATCTGGCAACATCGCATACAGCAGCAACCGTTGTTCGCCCGTTAGCCCGTTACAGCTAACGGGGCTTCGCCGACTTCGCATGCACTGTTTCACCAAACCTCGCACTGCTGGCCCGGCCGCGTCGGCCTACGCTTCGGGACCAGGGCCTCAGATTCACTTTTAGGGTCGTCGACCCATCAGGGTACCCTTGTGTATAAACCCTGATTGACAGTGTTTCTTAAAAAAAAAACCTGAAATATCAGGGTTCCTTTTGAAAAAAGGCTGATGTATCAGTGTTCAAAAATATAAAAGGTTGTTAATTACTAGAAACCTCTACTTCAAATACTAAGTCAGTAGCAGCCGTGTTATCATCACTGCCTTTGGCTTCTCTCCTCTCCTCAGCTTGGGACACCAGTACGTGACAGTGCTCTGCCGCAGCACACACATACACGTTGAAGCTGCAGGGGCAGGGTGTGGAGGAGGAACCGGATTGACAGGCAGGGTGAGGCAGGGAAAGAGAGAACAGGAGGGAGAGAGGGGGGAAGATTGGCACAGTTGGGGGGGAGACGACTGGGGGAGAGATGGAGTGCACAGAGTGCGGGGCAAAGGGAGCAGAGGAATGGACGGCGGGCGCGCGGGTCATGCGCGGATCATGTCGTCGCGCAGCACGACGATCTGCGCACCGCACGCGGTGCAGATGGCCTTTTCAACCGCGGTTCGTGCTGGCGACGAGGCAGCCTTCGGTTGCCGCCATTAGCACGAAAAACTACGCGTCGTCGAGTCGTAGCGGGCCTGCGACGCTGACGGGAATTGCCACGTGGTCTACGACCATCTAGCAGAATGCACTGCGGATCGCGTCGAACGAGAGCGATGTGTTCGGTGAGACAAGAGGAGATTCGGCAGCGCTTGCGATGGGTTCGATTCCCGACAGCCCGCCCTTTCTGGTGCTGATGGCGCCATGAATTAGTGCAGACGAGAAAGCAAGAGAGGAATCGGGCTGAGAGGGAGAGGGAGAGAAACAGGAGGAAAAGAAACATGAGATTGGGTTGGAGGGAATGGGAGCATCATTGCTTGCTGGTGCAGGAACCCTCGCAGCCCTCCAGCACAACATGGTTGCCACATCCTGATTAGCTATCACTTCATGCTACAACGTTACTACCCAATGAAGTGCTGGCACCGCAGGAATATGAGATTCCCTGTTTTGCGGGCAAATGCACACGGAACAAGTAAGAATTGCTTTCAGTGTTAGTTTCGTTACAACGCTGTAGAATCAGTGTACTTGGGAAACGAAAGTCTGAAATTTCAGTGTGGCCTAACAAAAAAGGCTGAAAGATCAGTCCCACAAAAATCTCAACGCTGATTTTTCAGTGTAGGTAAAAAAAGGGCTGCCAAAATCAGGAATTTCAGGGTTTTTTTCCTGATATCTGAGGCCCTGTTCGGGACTAGCCCACACCTCACTGTCAGTGTAGCACTAGCTAGCTCGCACGCACCGGGTTACCGTTTTGCATGTTTCGCGTATACAGTAAATGTTCGCTCAAGCCTTCGCTCACATTTTGTACTCGTTTTGACACCTAGTGCAATCCTCGCTATCCGTAACACAGGGACCAACCCAGCACTCTACTCAATAAGTAGTGAAAGGCTGTTGAAAAAAACATAAAAACACATTTAAACACACCGTATTTATTTTACGGTATTACAAACCTTTAGTAGCAGTTTTTCCATACAATTGCGCTTTTTGATGGGCAAGGACCTGCATTGGATACCGTACTACCACAACAATACAGATCATGATACATTAAGCATCTTCAGCCAACAAATCCTCACCAATCATCGTGTACGACACATCAGCACCAAACGGGGGCTCAGGGGGCGATTTATGCTTCGATGCTCCCAGCACACCCAAGAGTCAGCAGGCAGAGACGCTGCCACCTCCACAACAGCGTCATACTCCTCCCTTGGGCAAATTTAAAGGCATTCCGAAGCAGGGAAGGGGGGGAGCATGGCTCAACGACAGTGTTGAAGAAGCTGCACATTTCATCGGTACCAGAGGATGTGCATAACATGTAAATTGAGTCCACATCGTTTTGAAGCATAATCACCTCACTAGCACCCTTGTCAGATCTATTGCCCCTCCGCACCCTGCGCTCTCACCTGCCCCCTGCGTGGCCCACATAGGCCATGACACTGACCACGCCGCCCACAGCTGTGGCTGCCACGGCTGCCTGCAGCGCTGCCACCGTGCTGCGCGGCTGCGTCGTGATGCCCTCAGGGGCGGCGGCAGGAGAGGGAGCGGTGGTGGGAGGAGCGTGGTGGGCCCGAGGCAGGTAGCCAAGGTTGAACGCCACCAGACTGGTTGGGTCCAGGTGAGGGGTGGAACGGGGTGCGAGGGAGAGGGGGGAAAGTGTGCAAGGTTGTTGGGGAGTAGTGGGCATGGAGTGTGAAATGGAAGGTGTTGAGGAAGGTGAATGGAAGAATGGAAGACCCGAGGAGGGTGATTGAACAAATGGAAGAATGGCTTGCGGGTGACTCATCATTGATCGCATCGCATGTGGCATGGTGTGTGGTTGAATGGGGTGTGGAACAAGATTCGGCATGCCACGTGAGCAAGTGTGGCCTTGAAGGGTACCGTGCAGAGCCAGGGGCGACATGTTGGAGCAGTGTGGAGTGGCAGGCGCACACCGTGTGCACGTGAGCCATCTGCCACATGGGAGAGAGGGAGGTTGGGGGGAGGGGGAAGGGAAGAGGTATTGAAGAAGAATTTTGGTAGCAGCAATGGCACAAACGCTTATGCGTGAACACATGCACACATGCAGCCGGTCACATAGGCACACACATGCAATGCACATAGATGAGATGCTGCTGTGTGCCTCTCACCTGCACCTCTGACAGGCCAGCTGCCAGCAGGCGATGGGTTCTGCTGACTGCCTCCTCCTGTATGTCCATCGCCACCACTCGCCCCCTCACCTCCTCCCCTGCGCCCCCTGCATCGCCTGCATGGCACAACCCAACCCATGCCCCCACACATTCAACATCCACACGCAGCCATGGAGGGGCACACAGGGGTTTGACGTCTCGCAGGGCAGCGCAGGGCGGGCATTGCTTGCGAGCAGAGAGGCGAGGTCTCACCATCGCTGGGTGGCGCGGGGGCGAGGGCGAGGGCAGCCATGGCCATGGTGTCGTGCCCGTTGCCGCACGTCGCGTCCACCACCGTGTCGCCGCGCCGCACCACGCCTCTCCACAGCCTGACCCGCTCGCAAAAAAGGACGGCAGGCAGAAGGAGGGCGGATAGAATGAGGGCGGGCGGAGGATGAATGGCGGAACACGGAAGCATGGGGGTTGGGGGAGGGGGAGGGGGAGGGGGGGGAGAAGGGGGAAGGGGCGCGCCTACTGGTGAGCGACGGCGGTGAGTTTGCGGCCGCGGAGCAGCGACTCAGCCAGGTCGGGCTCTCTGGGCTCCGCTCGCGACGAGGCCCTTGGTGCCGCCATTTCCTGCGCCGCTTGGCATGAGAACGAACGTCGTCGTTGCGATACGCTAGACGTCGTGAATATTGATGTCGCCGTCTCAATTCTCGTTGACAGCTCGCTAGAATTGGGCCGCCTCAGCCTGTCGCCGCACACCTTTCCTGAGGGCGTGTTTAGATGAAGCACGTCCTTCGTGAAATTCCATGAAATCCCTATCCTACGAGACCTATTTGCACCTAGAGGGGTTCTTAATGAAGAAAGCATGGTGGGTGGGCGTGCCGCAAGTGGCGCTGATGGATTCATGTCGGGGAAATGGGGCTCATGTGAGCGAATACCAAGATTTAGGGGAGTGCTGATTCAACATTGGGTGAGCCGAAATTTCTACATTGTGGTTGTGGTGTGGAGTTCATTTTGTAGTGCTTTTGTTAGTTGCGCTGTTTTCTCAAACAAATCAAGCATATCTCATGCAGTGGACGGCCTCGATCATTCCGGAGTATCCTTCGATGTTGTCACTGGCGCGGTTCTGACGACAATCCCCAACATGCTGCAAGAATTCCACCCCACAGCCGCCTGACACATTTCTGACGACGACAGAACCGCGCAAAACCGAGAAGGATTTTGGTGCCCCTTGACTGAATGTCGCTGGCATGCGTTGTGTGGGTGGGATGAGTGGAGAATCCAAGGCCGCCTGAATTTGACTGAACATCGAATTTCAGGACCAAATCTCCCAGACTCAGTGTCCTTACTTAATCTCCATCTCCGCATCTTTCTCCTCAGCATCTCTCGCATTCGCTGCCTTTATCCGCTTTCTAAGCTGCATCTCGTTGTCGCCGGGTGCATCGTCCTCCTAGCGTACGTCGCAGCCATGGCCACCACCACTGCGCCGTCGGTGCAGCAAACGATCGACCGTCTGAGACTGGAGACGGCGACGCTTGATGAGATTAGGTCAGTCCGTGGACTGCACGTGGAGCGGTTTGATCTCTCTGGCCACCGATTAGCAAATCATATTTTTGCTCGTGCACCAGGCTATCAGCTTACTGATTTACCATCTTCTTGTCCAATCGCAGCGCCCAAGAACGGAGCGGCTTCCTGTCCCTTTTCGAGCGTTACTTGCAGTAAGTATTAGAACCGATGGGCTAGTAATCACTGAGCTATCTCGTCGGCTTCAGGGAGGCTTGTTTCTCCGCATCTGACGCGTGGCATGGGGTTGGTGCAGGGAGAAGGCGAATGTGATCCAGTGGGACAAGATCAAGTCGCCCACTGACCAGGAGGTCGTGCCGTACGATGACCTTCCTGAAGTTCCCCAAGGTAACTGCTTCGAGCGCTCTCTCTTAGCGAGCACTCAGGCCAGTGCGTTCCTGGTTTCTGATTCTCCAGTTGAAAGCCTGTGTGGTGACACGATGTGACGGCTGTTTCTGCTGCTGGTGCGGGTGGTGCGGGTGGCAGATCCAGCGGTGGTGAAGGAGCTGCTGAGCAAGCTGGCGGTGATGAAGCTCAACGGCGGGCTGGGCACCACCATGGGCTGCACGGGACCCAAGTCAGTCACGCTCACCCCTTCACCCTCTCAACCTTCGCGCCTGTCGCTTCCTGCTCCTCCTTTATGTCTACCTACCGTGCTCGGTGCTAACGGTTCTCTTTTCGGGATTTCAGGTCTGTGATTGAGGTTCGGAACGGTCAGACATTCCTGGACTTAATCTTGAAACAAATCGAGGTACGTCTGTCCCTCGGAAGGCCAATCCAAGCCTGTCACCCCAGTTGCGATCGCGCGTGGACCTGTCGCTGACTGTGCTTTCGTTCTCCTGGCAGACGTTGAACGGCAAGTACGGGTCGAGCGTGCCGCTGGTGCTAATGGACTCGTTCAACACGCACGACGACACTCTCAAGGTGCGCTCCTTCGCCTTCCGTGCCGCTCGTTCCGCTCCTACTCGCTTCTTATAGATTCATGACGCTTTGTGGACTCGTGTGTCGGCCTTTCTGACGGCGAACCGTGTGCGTGGCGGCAGATTCTCGAGAAGTACACGGATTCGGCGGTGAAGATCAAATACTTCAACCAGGTCACACCTCCTCTCTGGCGTCTCCGCAAATATGGCTTTCTCCGCTTACCTCCTGTCTCTCGTCCCCTGTCACTGCAACCGTGTGTCTACCTGCGCAAATTTCCGCCATCATTCCCTTTTCGTCCATTCGAACGTTCTCATCGAGTTGCGCGTCTGCTGTGGCGCTCACGCGCGTCGCCCTTGTCATTCTACGTCATGCTGTCTGCACTCACCACTCGCCCTCCCTCGTGCACGCCCGCGTGTGCTGTTTGCGTGTGCTGTGTGCGTGTGTATGCGTGTATGAGAGCAGAGCCAGTACCCGCGGGTGGTGGCGGACGACAACACGCCGTGGCCTGCCAAGGGCCGCAAGGACAAGGCCGCTTGGTCAGTCCGCCCGTACCTCTGCCTCCCGTCTTCCCTCCCCCCTACCCCCGACCCTTATCCTCCCCACCCCCTCCCCCCTCTCCGCTTTCCTGCCTCCTTTCCGTTACAGTCCCCCTCCTCGTTTTTTCGCCTCATTCGTTCCTAGCTTTGGTCGAGCCGTCCTTTTCTGTAGATTTGTTGGATCACAGGCGTTCCCTGCTTCGGTGCGTGTGTGTGTCGGTCCCTGCGCGCGGCACTGCAGGTACCCTCCCGGGCACGGCGACGTGTTCCCCGCGCTCTGCAACAGCGGCGTGCTGGACCAGCTGCTCGCCGAGGTACGCCCCTCCGCCAGAATACTAGCGGAATGGCGTGGCGGAATGGCGGAGAGATGTAGACGCGTGGCGGAGAGAATGTTGACGCGTGACGGAGTCTGGAAAAGGGCAAAGAGAGAATTATCGCGTAGGCGCCGAGGGTACTAGTGCAGAGGATAGGGGAACACCAAGTGCACGCATGTACGAGCATGGCATGGATAGCGGATGGGTGTGCATGCACTGAGTATGTGTGTGTGTGGCGTGCGTGCATGGCAGGGCATCGAGTACGTGTTCCTGGCGAACGCGGACAACCTTGGCGCCACAGTGGATCTGCGCATTCTCAACTTCATTGTACAAAACAACAACGAGTACTGCCTCGAAGTGAGTGCCACTCAATAGCGAGTATGCGTTGCAAGTGCTGCCACTATGGAATTATATAAATTATCTATGCATCCTGTTGCATCTCTGTGCCTCTCTTTTGTTCGCATCCCGACCCACTCCCTTCCCTTCCACTCCCATCCCATCCCACTCCCTTCTCTTCCCACTCCCATCCATTCCCTCTCCCATTCCTCATTCCCATCCCTTCCTCCCTGCCCCCTGCCCGCCCACCCGCCCACCCCAATTGCGTGTCTATGTGGGTGCGGGGCAGGTGACGCCAAAGACGTTGGCGGATGTGAAGGGCGGCACCATCATCAACTACGACGGCAAGCTGCAGGTGCCCACCCGCTCCAACCCCTCGCTGCACCACCCCCTCGCTGCACCACCTCCTCGCTGCACCACCCCCTCGCTGCACCACCCCCTCGCTGCACCACCCCCTTGCTGCACTGTGCTCTACTCTCCTCTTGGCTGCTCTCCATTCCTCCACTACGCTCTCCTCTTTCACTGCCTTACCCATCTTCTGAATTTCCATCAACATGCTTCATGCAGCCGTGTCTTCTCGTTATGTCTTTGATGCCTTATCTCCCCTATCCTCTCTGCTCCGTCGCGCTTCCCGTGCAGCTATTGGAAATCGCCCAAGTGGCGCCTGAGCATGTGAGTGACAGCAGAGTGTGGGTGACAGCAGAGTGTCAGCGGAAGCAGAGTGGAAGTGCCAGCAGAGTGTGAGTGACACCAGAGAGTGTGAGTGACAGCGGAGTGTGTGGGAGCTGTCACCATCAAGTGTTTTGAGCGTGTATTGCTGCTGCCACGCAAGGCTCTCGTCCACGGGCGCAGGGCTTGGGGCTGCATGATCAGCACCTCTTTTCCTCTCCATACCTGCTGCTGCTGCTGCTATGGGGTGCTGTGGGGTGTTGTGGGGTGGTGCTGGGTGGTGTGCGGTGGTGCAGGTATCGGAGTTTAAGTCCATTGAGAAGTTCAAGATCTTCAACACCAATAACATGTGCGTCACCATCCCATGCCATGCCGTGCCGTGCCGTGCCATGCCATGCCATGCTATGCCATGTCATGCCATCCCATGCCATGCCATGCCTAGCCATGCCGTGCCATGCCGTGCCATGCCATGCCATGCCGTGCCATGCCATGCCATGTCATGCCATCCCATGCCATGCCATGCCATGCCATGTCATGCCATCCCATGCCATCCCATGCCATGCCATGCCATGCCATGCCGTGCCACCATGCCATGCCATGCCATGCCATGCCACGCCATGCCATTCCGTGCCACCATGCCATGCCATGCCGTGCCACCATGCCATGCCATGCCGTGCCACCATGCCATGCCATGCCGTGCCACCATGCCATGCCATGCCGTGCCACCATGCCATGCCATGCCGTGCCACCATGCCATGCCATGCCGTGCCACCATGCCATGCCATGCCGTGCCATGTCATGCCACGATTGAACACTCCAACATCACACCACCTTCGCTGCAAGTAGACTGTGCCAGCATGCAACCAACCAAGCAACTGTGTGTGTGCTTGGGTGCGTGCGAGCAGATGGCTCAACCTGGCGGCCATCAAGAGGCTGGTGGAGTCAGACGCCCTCAAGCTCGACATCATCCCCAACCCCAAGGTGCAAACCCCTGCTCCCTCTCCCCCTATCCATCCCACGTCCCTGCCCCTCTCCCCCTATCCTTCCCACGTCCCTGCCCCTCTCCCCCTATCCTTCCCACGTCCCTGCCCCTCTCCCCCTATCCTTCCCACGTCCCTGCTCCCTCTCCCCCTATCCTTCCCACGTCCCTGCCCCTCTCCCCCGCCTCACTTCCATTCCCCCATCTGTCGCTCTCCATCCTCTCCCATCCCGTCTTCGCCATTGCTCTCCTGCCATTCCTACCACTCCCGGATAACATCTCCGTCACGCCTGTGCGTGCGTGCCTGCACTCTTTCCATGTGCATGTGTGCATGCTGCATGCGTCCATGCTCCATGTGTGCATGTGTCTTTCCATGTGGGAGCAGGAGGTGGACGGGGTGAAGGTGCTGCAGCTCGAGACGGCTGCCGGTGCCGCCATGAAGGTCAGCTCTGCTCCATTCTCGCCATGCCTCCCTGCATTGCCATCGCTCAGTCTCTCTTCTTCCACCCGTCTCCATCGTCCCTGTTCCCTCGCCTATCCATGCCTCACTACCTCACTCTTCTTCCACCACCCCTTCCATCCCCTCCGCCCCCCATTCGTTCCCCCTCTCCCTCCCCCCACCTGTGCAGTTCTTTGATCGTGCCATTGGGGTGAATGTGCCTCGCTCACGCTTCTTGCCCGTCAAGGCCACCTCCGACCTCCTGCTCGTCCAGGTGCCTCCATGCTTCTTCTCCGCCTCCTTCCCTCTCACTCCCATTGTCATTCCAAGAGTTGCTGTGCTGGCGCCCACCCACCAACCACCCCTTCACCACTGCCCCCCTCTGCCCCACACCATGTGCCTGCAATGCACTTTTCCGCCCTCCCTTTCGTGCCTCTTCTCACCACATATTCCAGTCCACACTAGTCCCGTCTCACCCCTGGTTTCCACCTCTCAACCTGTAACTGTACTCCTTTCCATGACTCGCCTCCTCTCCCCTCCCCCCGTCGTGTGCCGGCAGTCGGATCTGTACACGGTGGAGGACGGGCTCGTCACGCGCAACCCGGCCAGAACCGCTGCCGCCAACCCCACCATTGACCTCGGACCCGAGTTCAAGAAGGTGCGTGTGCCATGCCCCTTCATGTGCGTCACTGGCACAGGTGTGCTGCGAGTGACTTCAGAATTTCCGTGTGCTGCGTGCATGCCATGTTCCATCTGTATTTCTATGCTGCTACGTGAGCCTCACATCGGCCATGGGTTGCCCACTGCTGTTGCATGCTGCTCTGGCGAGCAGGTGGCGGATTTCCAAAAGAGGTTCAAGGCCATCCCCAGCATCATAGAGCTGGACAGCCTCAAGGTGTCGGGCGACGTGAGCTTCGGGGAGAACGTCACTCTCAAGGTCCGTGCCTCCCACCCGCCCTCGCTCACCCCTGCTCTCTCCATTACCTCTGTGAAATTGGTGCCCTGTCTCCACTTCCCTCCACTCCGCCACCTCCTCTCATCCATCCTGTTCTGCCATGCACTGTGCGTCCATCCTCGTGTGCGGTGCATGCAGGGCAAGGTGGTGATAGAGGCGCCCAAAGATGACAAGATTGTGGTGGCTGATGGCACTGTGCTGGAGGGATAGGCGTGCAGGGAAGCTGCCTTTTACACAAGCTGACATGGAGCTAGCAGCAGGGTGTCCTGCATCCATGTCAGCATTATACGAGATGCAGGCGCAATCTTTGACATAAGTTGTCTTAGCCAGTTGAGGATCACTTGTGGAGTCATATTTTTGAAACGATAATGGAGCTTGTTGGTGCTGGATGAAATAAGCCAGGGATAGAAAGAGCAGAACTAACTGGCTATATGGATGCTGTGTAGCCCTTCTGGCATGAGACAATGCTGCAGGCTTTCTGGAGAACCAGCTAAGTATCACTCGTTAAAAAGGGCTGACTAATCAACCCTGTGTGGGGCATGAGCAATGCATTGTATGGCCGCTCCGTGCTTGCAGGGAGGTAGAGGATCACGAGGAGGGCAACAGCTTGTAGGGGTTGAGGATGCCGTTGGGGTCAAAGAGAGCCTTCACCCTCTTCATCACCGCCACCTGCATGCCATGCACACGACACACACGGTGGGTTAATGCGAGAGGCTCCGATGTATAGCCCAGGCAGGGAGGTGTTGAGAAGAGAGAGCCTTAAAAAGGAGATGAGCTGGAGGAAGCAGCAACAGAGAGAAGATGAGCTGAGTACCAGGTGTGCCCCGACAATTGCATGTGCACGCTGCATGGCTGCCTGATTGCGCTGCCGCGTGGCATGCCACCAGCATACTATGCGAGCACTCAAGAGGCAGAGCTAGGGAGAGCTGGGCAGAGAGGCAGCAGCGCACCGCCTGGGGGTCTTTGCTGTAGTGGATGGCGTTGGCCTTCATGAGCCCCAGCCCATGCTCCGCACTCACACTGCCCTGCCGCCCCGCCACCCACTCGTACACGAATGGCTCTATCCGCTCCAACAACTGCATGCACAAATGTACATAAGAGGATAAGAGGATCAAACCCATGGGATATGGCCGCGCTCTTGGGAGCGCAAAGTGGCATTGCTGGGGTGCCATTCTCACCACTCGAGTTGCTGTTTCATTTACATCACATACCCGGGCGGGACAGTGGAGAATAATGGAGGAATGACAGCAAGAGCAGAGAGGAGCACTCACTTTGTCGTCATACGTGGGAGCGGAGATGTTGAGGTGCAGATTGCCATCGCCCAAGTGCCCGTACCCCACCACCTGCGCTGCACTGCCCTCTGCTCCGCCCCAAGGCGGACAGGCACAGGGGAAGGAAGACAGGTGAGAGAGAGACCATGAAAATCAGAGAGGCAGAAACGTGCAGGAAGAGCGACAAGGTGACAAGTTGACTCGGAGGAGAACCTCCCAGGCTATCCCCCTCACCTAGGCGGGAGCGCATCTCGTCCACGAGGCCGTACAGCTGTGAGACGGGCACCGACAGGTCGTACTTGTACACCGCCCCTGCACGCTGTAGCGCCTCCGCCACTCCCTGATGGAGGGGAAGGAGGGTAGCAGGAGAAAAATGGGGGAGGAGACGGGGAGAGCATGGTTGCGGTGTAGAGCTGTGAGACGGGCACCGACAGGTCGTACTTGTACACCGCTCATGCTCGCTGCAGCGCCTCCGCCACTCCCTGATTGTGGCACACACAGGAGGAGGGGAGGAGGAAAGGGATGGGGGTGGTGAGGCAATAGAGCTGTGGCAAGACAGGTCGTACTTGTAGAGAACAATGAGAAACGGGCTGGCAAGGGAAGTGAGACAGCGTCACACGTTGGAAGGAAGGAATGAAAGAGCAACGTCTTGCAGTCGCCTACCACCACCTCTCTGTCCCTGCCATTTCACCCGCACCTCCCCAAGGTGACAGCACCACTCACGCATTCACAGTCGCCAGGCATTTTATGCGCGCCTCACTCAGGGCCAGCCATCTCACCGCACTGCACCTTGCGCAGGAGCCACCTCACCACATCTCACCTCGCGCAGGTGCCAGAGCACAGCGGTCTGGTTGGAGTCATGAGCCACAGTGGAGTCATGAGCCACAGTGGAGTCATGAGCCACAGTGGAGTCATGAGCCACAGTGGAGTCATGAGCCACAGTGGAGTCATGAGCCAGAGTGGAGTCATGAGCCACAGTGCCGTCCTTCACCAGATCTCACCTCGCGCAGGTGCCAGATGGCAGCAGCCTGCGTGGAGTCATGAGCCACCGTGCCGTCCTCCACGGCTCCGGCCTCCATCACGCCCTCCAGAAACGCGTCTAGCTTCGTCCTGCTCCGCCGCCCACAGGGATGTTGGGTGGAGGTAGATGGCAAGTGGAAAAGCGTGTTGGGTGGAGGTAGATGGCCAGTGGAAAAGCGTGGCTTGAAGAGACGCTCGTGCTGTGAGTAAGGCAAACATCTGTTTAGACAAGGATAATTTCTAATTGAATGTTGTATGAATGTCTCACCCACCGGTCGTGGTCAGGGTTGCTGCCGGACGTCTCAATGAGCACGTAGAAGGGATACTCCCCATCCGGTAGCGGGTCCCTCGTGCCCTCGTTGTGCTTCAGCACCTGCTCACACCGACAGGTAGGAGGACAGTGGAGCACGGCGTGGCAGGTGAGGCGATGTGAGCACATCAGAACGTTGTGTTGTGCTCGTATCATGATGCCATTTCCAAGCTACCATTTGAAGGGGCGTTACCATTTGAAGGGGCGTTACCAATTGAAGGTGCGTTACCATTTGAAGGTGCGTTACCATTTGAAGGTGCGTTACCATTTGAAGGGGCGTTACCATTTGAAGGTGCGTTACCATTTGAAGGTGCGTTACCATTTGAAGGTGCGTTACCATTTGAAGGGGCGTTACCATTTGAAGGTGCGTTACCATTTGAAGGTGCGTTACCATTTGAAGGTGCGTTACCATTTGAAGGTGCGTTACCATTTGAAGGGGCGTTACCATTTGAAGGTGCGTTACCATTTGAAGGTGCGTTACCATTTGAAGGTGCGTTACCATTTGAAGGGGCGTTACCATTTGAAGGGGCGTTACCATTTGAAGGTGCGTTACCATTTGAAGGTGCGTTACCATTTGAAGGTGCATTACCATTTGAAGGTGCGTTACCATTTGAAGGTGCGTTACCATTTGAAGGTGCGTTACCATTTGAAGGGGCGTTACCATTTGAAGGTGCGTTACCATTTGAAGGTGCGTTACCATTTGAAGGGGCGTTACCATTTGAAGGTGCGTTACCATTTGAAGGTGCGTTACCATTTGAAGGTGCGTTACCATTTGAAGGGAGCTGCGGTCGAAGAACTCCGCAGCAGATAACACCTCCCCCAGGTGGCGCCTGCTGGCACAAAACACCTGCTGCACAGCATCGAAGGAGGAGCACCCCAGCAGCGCCACGTGCACTGAGGGCGAGCGTGGGGGTGCCAGCAGCACCACCCTCGTCACCACGCCCAGCGTGCCCTCCGCTCCTGGTGGCCGGGACGGTTGGAAGGGGCGGGGGGAGAAGCAGAGAGGTGGGGTTGAGAACGTGTTGTGTGCACTGTGCTCCATCACAACCAGATCACACCGTCACCATGCCATGCGATTACATATGACCACATGCCACATGACATGACACGACATGGCCTCATACGCCACCACAGTGATGATCCCATCCCCAGCTGTACCGATGAAGAGCTGCTTGAGGTCGTAGCCGGTGTTGTCCTTCCTGAGCGCCCTCGTCATGTCCACCACCGTGCCATCCGCCATCACCACCTCCAGCCCTGCTCGTGCCCCGTGCACCCATGGGCCACGGGAGGGGCCGCGGGGGAGAGGAGAGGCACATGGGAAGAGGAGGGGCAGGGGAAGCAGGGTTGATCGGGAAATGGATGGGACTGAATGGTCCTGATGCACTCAAAGTTCTCCGTGCAGAATGATTGGGCTCTACGCTCCACATTCTGCAGAGTACGAGTCAGTAGGTAGGCTCACCGAGCACGGAGCCGCGCACAGGCGTGAGGAATGTGCGCAGTGAAGTGAGCAATTAACTGAGCAATCAACTGAGCAGTGAATTAAGCAGTGGAGGCCCACGCACCGAGCACGGAGCCATGCAGGGAGCCGTATCGCAGCAGGCGGATGCCGCCCGCGTTGGTGGAGACATTGCCGCCTATCTGACAGCTGCCCTTGGCGCCTAGATCCAACGGCATCACGAACCTTGCAGGGCAGAGGGGCAGTCAGAGAGGGCTGGACCAATGTTTAGATGACTGGAAAACATTTGGCCCCGATGTGGCAGCTGCCCTTGGCGCTCAGATCCAACGGCATCACGAACCTTGCGGGGTGGAGGGGCGTTGTGAGGTGTGCATGCGAGTGTGTGCACACTCATACTTGACTCACCCCTTGTCAGCCAGGAAGGTGTCGAGGGACTCGAGGATGCACCCCGCCTCGCAGTCCAGGATGCCGCTCACCTGGTGCCCACCCCCCCACATGGCATGCACGCACAGCGGCCCGAAAGTGGGGGATGGGAGAGGGAGAGGGAGAGGGAGCAGGGGTTGTGACGAAAGCAAGGAGACGAAACATGGACTGATGTCTGTGATGGTTGTAATGGGAAGGGGTTCAGCTGTTGTTTGATAAGCAAGGGATGTTTCATAGTGGCATGTGAGAGCCATGTGCCATGCTTGCTGCAGCACGGATGTGATTGGTAGGTGGGATGGGGAGTGGAGGGGCATGAGGATAGTAGGAGGTGGGCGTACCTCATCAAATGAGATAATCTTGTTCATTCCTGCAAGGCTCAAGATAATCTGTCATGCCATGCCACGCCATGCCATGCCGTACCATGCCATGCCAAGCCGTGCCATGCCATGCCGTACCATGCCATGCCAAGCCGTGCCATGCCATGCCAGCCATGTCATGCCATGCCATGCCGTGCCATGCCATGCCGTTGAGAGACATTGATTGACATTGACATTGATTGGAATTGACACTGATTGACATTCACACTAACTGAGATTGACATTGATGGCAGTGATTGGTTGACATTGCAGACTGACTCTTACTCACACCGATGGATGAACATTCACACTGATTGACATTCACACTGATTGACATTCACTTGGATTAACAATGTTTGACATTATTTGTCATTGACGACCGCCACTATCACTCGGTACAGCCACCCCCGTGTCGTCCGCACTCACCTCATCGAACACAGGCACACTGCCGCCCACCAACCCCGTGTTGCCACCCTGAGGCACCACAGCCAACCGCCTCTCATTGCAGTACTTCAGAACGTCCGCCACGTGGCTTGTTGTGGTTGGCCGCAGCAACAGCTTGCTATTCCCCTTGTACTTGCCCATCCAGTCCACGTTGGCTGCTGCCACGGCGTCAGGGTCCGTGATCACGCCACGTTCGCCTAGAATCCCCTTGAAATATTCCACGTCAGCATCTTCCAACGTGGCAAATTGCGGGTCTCTGGAGACTGCCACCGTGGCGTATCCTGCCCGTGCTGAGGCGCCAGACGGGAGGGACTCAGGACCGTGAGGCAGAAGCGCGCGCAACCCAACCCGTGTAGAAGGAAGTGCGGGGACGCTAGCTGTGGCTGAGGGGGTTTGGTGGAGCGGGAGGCCAGCGGACATTGCGCGGAGTAATTGCAGATTCGGCGGAGCAGGCGCGGAGGGTGATGGGGGTGGATGGAGCGCGGAGCTGGGCGAGGAACGGGGAAGAAGGCCAGCTTGGCGGAACAAGGCGGAGGTTGCGCGGATGGCGCGGCCACGCTGAGAGGAAGCCATGGTGCGCCGCACTGGTGCTGGCGATCTCCTGACGTCACGAGACTAGGTGAACAGCAGTGACAGAAGCGGCTACTGAGAGCGATGCGACGCGATCAGACGAGCACTAGAAGCAAACGCGCGACTTGCAAAAGAAACTGGGTTGACGGAACACTAGTAACGGTGAAAGCACTTCCAGTAATGGTGGCTCGGCGGGCGCTGTAATGACTGTGGCCAGTCGAAGGTGCGGCGGAAGAGTGAACGGTGTGGACGGTTAGACAGACTTAGCACGAGTAGTCTAATCGCACGCGAGCGCTACGTTAGAATGAAGTCAACGAACGTGGAGGCTTCTCGATGGGAAGGGTGGACAAGTGCCAGTGGAGCGAGCAGACAGGCTCTGGTCTGGTCTGGTCCTGAGCACGTCTAGAAAATCAAACATGCCAGTCTTGTAAAAGAGGCGTTCCTCTACTGACTGATGGTGGTTGGCTGGAACGACCATGGCTTCTACAAGGTGAACTTGAGCTCGCTCCAGCGCTGCACCACAATTGCGGTGAGCAATTCCCGAGGTGCTGGCGAGAGGCGTGCATTGGTGCTTCCTGCCCCTCGAGAACTGCGGCGACGAGTGCGGCCCATTCGCATGCTTCCCACGCATCCCCGCTGGCATCGCACATGCATTCACAATTTTGCTAAATTGGGTGTGTTTCAACTTTATAGAGAGATGAAAGTGATATTCACGCTAGTCTATGTACCCTTGTACCTTACCGCGCATTTAAATACCCCATCCTCGGTAATAGACGCAATTGCTGATGTGGTGCCACATGTGCCTCTGGATGAGGTCTCTCAAATTCTGTTCCTCGTCTTTACTCCCGCTCGTGCAGATCGACCCCCACTGACGCTCTGACGCGTGGAAACGAAATGTCCCCCTTTCTGGACAACCATAGCCAGTCAGAGGTTACCGCATCAGCCAATTGTTTCGTCGTTTCAAATGTGCTGGGGCAAAAGCAAACTCTACGCCGACGATTCGGGCGCTCGCGAAAATTCAACGGCCGGATGTGTTCGGAGTTTCGTCCAAGCAGTGTGAAATTCCCCAGGGCTGCCTGACTGGCATCTAGCAGGGGGTTAAGGAAAACTGATCAACTGGTGGCACTTGGAAGAGTCCCTTCCACCTGCATCTCCGACCAGGCTGGTCTGGTCTAGAGCCTAGACTTGCCTCCATGGCTAACGATGATGTTCCGCAAAAGGCGGCGCCTTCGCAGCTAGTCTCTAAGAAGTCTCCCGCGCAGGAGCAGCAGAAGAAGATGAGTCCAGGGGAGGAGATGGAGAGCGAGTGGCAGCAGATAGTGGATTACTACGACCCGGCCAATGTGGAGAAGCGCGCGGAGGAGGCGAGGAAGAAGGAGCTGCAGGCTCTCCAATCCGCCATGGAGGCGAATCGCGAGCAGGAGCAGGTTAGAACTAACAGCCACACGGTGTTTTTGGAATGAGGACGGAACCGATCCTGGTTACAGGTCAGCGTGTAGCTGTTCTCGCGATTCAGGGGTTTAATCCGATTGGTGCTTAAGGCTTATTTTCGTAAGCGCACCGCAATGCGTTGAGTTGATGTTAGATGCGCAACTGTTCCAACGTGCTACAGTGGTCGTGTCAGATCCGATTCGGAACATAGGCAGTATCTAGCACGGGACATTGGTAGACTCAGAATTTAAAGTGGTGATTCGTCTAGGGTTTCTCCCGTTTGTATACCGAGCCTGAAAGATTCGTATAGCTGAGACTACATTGCTCTATGCGTGCAAGTAAGGTGGAACAGAACTCCTTAACCTTGTGCCCGGTTACGTCAACTCAATTTACCTCCTTTTGTCATCCTTGCTCCTCGACCACAGTCCCTTAGCGTGCCTGGTGTGCTATTCTTGTGCCGCATAGATAATGTTTCCACGCAAGTCATGACCTCCGTCGTTCCCCTCTCTCACATCACGCGCCTGTACCATCCTCCGTCCGTCGCGCCGTAGATTCTGGAGGAGTTCTACGGCATCAAGCCGCGGCCGAAGCAGTCTCTCGAGGAGCTCGAGAAGGCGGCGGCGGAGGTGGCGGAGGAGGACGAGTGGAACTTCCCGCAGGACCCGGACAAGTGGACGGAGGCGGATCTCGGCGAGGAGTGGGCGGACGCGCCCGCCGACGCCAAGGTGCCGTTCTACGACCCGCTACTCGGGCTCTCCGCGCTCGACGCCGCCGATGATGACGCGGACGCCGACGACGGCCGCCGCAGGTGGGAATACTCACTGAAAATCCTGCTCTCCACATCCGCAAATTCCAATACCGCTCACACATAACCCAATGCTGGTCACACGCAACCTGGATGCTGTATCTCATCGCATTGCACGCCGCTTGCGCTGCGCATTTCCCTTGTCCTTTCCCCACCACGCGCTGCCTCCCGCCTACTCCCCTCCTCCGCCCTCCCCCTACTCAGGCGCAAGGCTCCGCGCAAGCAGCAGCGCGCGAAGCTGCCGCATTCGGAGGACCGGTATGTGCCGTACCGGCAGGGGCTGCCGCCGGTGAACGAGATGGACGACGGCAGCTCGGGCGCGCTCAAGGCTCTGGAGGAGCTCGAGATGGAGGAAGAGTTTCTGCAGTGGGCCTCCTACGTCTTCCGCGACGGCGCCACGTGAGTCTTGCCTCCCCGCATGTCACGCGAAGCAGGGCGGATGGGATGGGTGGCGGATGTGCGTAGGAACTGGTGGGATGGGGCGACTGGTGGACCCGAGTAAATGCCATGGTAGGCTTGTTCCCAGTTTTGAGCGTAGTATGATGGAAGCACCCCTTTGTAAATTTGGCTGTTTCTCCCTCTAATCCGTCGTGTCCGTGTCCAACCACCGATCACCGTTCCCATCCATACAGCTACTATGTTCAAGCTCCCATTCTTTCCATCACCCCTCCCCCTACCCCTTTGTTTTCCCCTCTCCCCCTCGCGCTCTACCTCCCCCCCGCCATCCCCGCTGCTGGCTGTGGGTGTCCTGATGACAGGTACGAGGGCACGGTGTGGAACGACATGGCGCAAGGCAAGGGAGTCTACACCACGCCGCTCGAGCTCTGCAAGTGAGTTTCGTGCACCCTGTTAACGACGAATACAACAACCCACACCACATCAACAGTAAACAGCTTCTCGAGTCCTCTCCCCCACTTCACGCGCACGCTCTCTCCTCCGTGTCCTCCCACTCTCCTGCCTTACTTCCCAACTCCTTCCCGTCTGTCTACCGCTGCGTGTGCACATCTAACTGTGCGTGCGTGCGTGCGTGCGTGCATGTGAGCTGGGAGCAGGTACGAGGGCGAGTGGGTGCAGAACATGATGCAGGGCCATGGCGTCGTCTCCGTCGACGTCCCTGCGCGCCTCCCGCCGCCAGACTCCGAGTGAGCCTCCTCGCAACCCCATGCGCTCTTCTTTCCCCGCCGTGCCGCTTTTCCCCTCCTTCCTGCCCTCTTGGTTCTTGTTAAACCCTCAACCCCTACACCCGATCATTGTCGCCCTTCCCCCTGCGCCTCCCCTCTCACCATTCGCCTCCCCTCCTCTATGTCGACCCTCCCCCCCTGCGTCTCCCCCTCCCCTGTCCCCGTCCGCGCGCGTGCTGTGCGCGCGACAGGGCATGGCGGAAGCTGAAGGCGGAGGGGAAGGTATTCGAGGACGAGGAGATGAGCGCGGAGGACAGGGAGTGGCTGCGCATGGAGCTCGAGGACCTCTCAACCCAGGAGGCGGACGCCAAGAAGGCGGGGGGCGCGGGCGGGGAGGGCGCGGGGGCGGTGGAGGACCCCACGGACGCCGTGCCCTTTGAGGACCACCCCGGCTGGCTCAAGGTCTTCGGCCGCAAGCCGTGAGTGCCCTGCTCTCTGCGCATTGAGCGTCGGTGCTCTGCTCTGTGTAGGTTGCACGCGGATTCACAGGAAACGGGAATGGATGAAACGGAGTCAGGAGGGGTCTGTGCGTGACGCGTTGCCTTCTGCCTTCCCGCTCTTCTCGTGGTTCACTTGTGCGTGTGTGCGCGCAGGGAGAAGGGGCACTACGAGTACGCGGGGCAGATGAAGCAGAACAAGTTCCATGGCTGCGGTGTCTTCACCCTCAATGGCAAAATGCACTTCGTGAGTCAGTGATCATCGCAGTAGCATCTCAATACCACCATCTTGCAAGCCAGTGCGCCGTGTCTGTGTCCTCTAGCTATGCCCATCGTGCTGCATTCCATGCCATTCCATTCCATCCCAATGCCACCACCCCATGCCCCCCCTTCCCATGCCATGCCGTGTTACCGGCAGGGCAAGTTCCGCTTCGGCGAGTTTCTGCGCAACAAGGACGAGTGCGATGCTCACACCTCCGGGGTGAGTGCACCCAGGGGTGCAGCGCTGGGGGGTTTGCAGGATTGTGAACTGTGACTATATAGTGTGCAGGCATGGGTGTCAGATGGGGGAAGGGGGACGGGTGAGGGGATAAGAGGATGGACAGGGAAGAGAGAGTTGCGGTGTGGGCAGCTCCTGTCAACTTTGCTGCTGTTTGCATGCCTTGCCATTGCGCTTCATCTCCTGGCTCGCTCGTACAGAGATATGCCTACCCTCTCCCTCGCTACCTGTTAACACTGCCATCCTTCCCCTCTCCCCCTGCCCTCCCCGGGCAGTTCCATGCGGGCATGGCGCGGGTGGCAGCAGCCAAGGCGCGCATGTTCGTGAACAAGCCCGATGGCAGTAAGTCCCTTCCACCCCTCCCCCCTGCTTGCCGCTCCTCGCGCCCGCCCTGCTCCATCCATGCTGTCCGCCTTTTCCTGCCCCTGCACGGTCTACCGTCCCCACTTACAATGAATGCTCGCCTTTTTATGCGAGCTCAGCAGGGCCTCCCCACCATTCAACCGCGCCCCGCTGCTGTGATGCTGCCTCTCGCCCCTCCATCTCCCATGACCCCCATCACCTCAACCCCAAACTCGTTTACCACTCTCCCATCCCATCTTCCCCCCCACGCGTGCGAGTGCAGTGGTGCGCGAGGTGAAGGGGCCATACAACGAGCCGTCGCACCCGTACCTGTACGACGACAACGGCATGTGGCAGGCACCAGTGTTGCCCTAAACCTGAGACCTGTGTACCCCTCTCCCCGTCACCCCCCCCCCCCCCCCCTCTTCCCCCCGCCTATACGAGTGCAGTGGTGCGGGAGGTGAAGGGGCCATACAACGAGCCGTCGCACCCGTACCTGTACGACGAGGATGACATGTGGCAGGCGCCGGGGTTCATCCACGAGTTCCACGCCGTGCCCGCCGTGTGGCGCAAGTATGCTGACGAGGTGGACGGCGAGCGCCAGCTGTGGCTCAACTCCTTCAAGAAGGCGCCCCTGCGCCTCCCCTCGCCCTCCGAGCTCTCCTACCTCTGGGACCAGAGTGAGTGCCGGTACTTAGGAGACGAGTTTGAGTGGGGGTCCCACGTGGCACCTGGCCCTCCTCCTTGGCCTTGGCACTGCATTGCCATGGCTGCCTCATGCCTACCCAAGGACATGCTGCTGTTGTTTCAGTGAGTGCCACAAGCTACGTGGTATGTGACGATCCCCCTCTTCTGCAACCCATCCCCGTAACGGCTTAGCCCACCTTGCTCTCACATCTCCCTCCCTCGCCTTACTCCCTGCCCCCCGCCTCATTCACAGAGGAAGAGTTTGTGGTGCTGCGCAACTCGCCGCGACTGCCGGAGCGGGCGGGGGAGAGTGCGGAGGAGGCTGAGATGAGGCGGGCGGACATGCAGGGGCAGGTGCTGGTGCACGTGCCGTCACGGCAGATCATCAACTGGACCACGGACGAGGAGGGCAAGCTGCGCCTCTTTGTGCAGCCCTTCACCAAGTGAGCCTCCTCTCATGGCCGTGGGTAGGGCATGGCATGGCATGGCCAGGCATAGCCGGTCCCATATGTCTCTGTCTCCCCAATTTCCCCCTCATGCATGCGCACATGCACTCGTACACTTTGCCTCGTGTGTCCTCACCATCTTCTTCCACTCCTCCTTACCCCGGTTTCCTACCCATCCCCCCCCCACCGTACCCCAGGGATGGCAAGGTGGATCCATCCAAGGCGCGCCCGCTGCCGCTGGGCTTCGATGAATTCATCAAGGGCGAGGAGATGGAGCAGGAGGAGGAGGAGGAGGAGGAGCAGGAGGAGAGCGAGGAGGCGCGGCGCCTCAAGACCCCCGAACAGCTGCAGCGCGACGCGCAGCGCCGGCGCGCCAAGGCCGCAGAGGCCAGGCGGCGCCGCGTGGCGCGGTGGGAGCGGGCGCTGCGCAACCAGGTGGCGTGGCGGCGCGAGCAGCGCGAGGAGGAGTGGGCGCGGCAGGACGCGGAGGAGGAGGAGCTGCGGCGGCTGGAGGAGGAGGAGTGGCAGCGCGAGGGCGACCTCATGGATGCCGAGTTTGAGGCCCGGCTTGACGCTGCTGAGGGCATCCTGCCTGCTGGGGACGATGAGGAGGAGGAGGAGGAGGGGGCGCAGCAGGGACAGGAGGAGGACGCGGCTGGCAAGGGGGCTGTGAAGGGCGGTGCTGCAACTGGGAAGGCTGCTGCTGGTGGCTCTGGGGCGGGAGAGGAGGAGGAGGGGTCGGAGAGCGAGAGTGAGGGTGAGAGTGATGACGAGGATGAGGATGAGGACGAGAGGAAGCCGCGGAGCTTTGGAACGGTGGCCATGGCGGTGGGAGGGGGTGAGGGCAGGGAGGAGGGCAGCGCAGGGGAGGGGTGGCTAAGGGGGCCAGCTGTAGCGGGCAGCACCACGGTCTTTGCCTCCATCTCTCTCTCCTCTCAGGTAGATGCACCTGCTTGTCCTTCTGAGCTGACTTACAAGTCTCCTTGTCTCTGCTCTCACCTCACCACCCTTCTACCCACTCTCCTAAGTTGGAGTACACGCTCAGAGCCTCAAGCGTATCGCGTTTATACGCTTGCGTTTAAACGCTATACGCTATATGCTAGGGAATACGCAATACGCAGTCAGGTTTGTTTAGGGCTGCCCGAAAAAAAAAAACGTTGCGGATTTCCTTGGTGAGCATTTCGCGGAAGTCGAAATGCTAATCGGTGGTCTAGGCAAGCGGAAATGTGACTTCGAAGTTTGCAGGCGTGTCTGGAAATCAAAATGTTGAATCTCGGATTAGTACCGCACTGAAACCCATCCCATCTACGAACCCCAACCAGCCCAAAACCACCCCTCCAACAAACCCCACGCCCACGGTGCCTACCAGCCAGCCCAGCTGGTAACTCGACATTTGTAAATTTCATTTCATCTCGATCTTGCCGACCTCATTCTTATAGACGAATATGACTAGACTGTGGGCACCATCTTCGCGCTTTGCACCTCGCCCATCCCCCGCTCTAAACCTAACAAACTGCTCGACATTTTTTTTTTATGTGCCCGGGCCTGCGTATTCACTGCGTACCGGACCCCTCTCGAGAAGCGTTCAACGCATATATTCCAACTAAGCCACTCTCACCACCCCTCATCCCTCTTACCTCTCCTCTCTCCCCCACCCGCACCCCTCCCACCAGGTGGCACTGCAGCAAGCCCTCCATCACGCCGCACGCTCCATCTCCTCTCTCCGCCGCCTCCTCCCTTCACCCTCCCCTTCCACCCCCACTGCGTCTCTCTCGCCTGCCACCACCCCCTTAGCCTCCCCCTCCCTGCCTACTGCACTGGCACTAACAGTGCGCATGCCTGCGGTGCTGCCTCTCACGCCGTGCCTGCGTGCGTCAGCCCTGTCCTCTGCTGCACGCCGCGCACCCGTTGCTAGGAGCAGCTCACGTGGCGCTGCTAGAGCGAGCCAGGCCCGCCAGCAGCAGCACTCCCAGGAGGTTGCGGTGGGGGGCATTCTCTCCCTTGCCCTGCCGCTGCCTGCCACTCCCTCCCTTGCCTAGTCTGTGTGAGCTGCTGCTGAGAAGGTGACATGATACTAGCGCAACTGTGCGCCTCTAGACCTGGAATAGGCTTGCCAGATTATGGGTTCTGAGGGATCTACAGTAATTAATAAACATCTTATGCAAGTTGTTGGATCGGACCACAAAGCAATGGATTGTAACGTAACATTATTCAGAAAAAGGCTATCACAAGGAGCTTGGTTGTTTTTTATTCTAAGGTATCTTTCTGTTGTTGCGCCTTGAACTCTACCCTGGTCATGTATGGTACTACAGCCAGAGAAGCAATGGGACACAAGCAGTGAGGGTTATGGGTTGCAAGAGGTCCACTCTGTGATGTTTTCTACCGCCTGTGGGGAATTTGTGACAGATAATTTACTGGAAGAGTGAGAATAAAATGCTAAAACACTATTTACTGGAATCAAGTGCTCTGCATGAGATCTGTTACCCAACTAAGCATACATACGTACATCAAGACTTTATTCCTGCACGCATGCCTTCACCATGTGCCATCGCCTCTACCCATCAACTACCAGCACGCCCCTTCCACCCGACCAGTCAGGTCTATCCACCCCTCCACCACCGCCCTCCTCCGTAAACAAACCCCCGCCCTGCACGTAACCACGTGCTGGGACCAACCGCATGCGTGTGAGAGAGAGCACCCGGCAGCCGGCAGCAGCGAGTGGTTCAGGCATCTAGTAGACGGGCTTCTGTTTCTCGAACGCCCACGACCGCCAGTTGTCGCCGTGGTAGGGCGGCTCGGGGTTCCAGTTCCAGGGGCGGCCGTTGACCTTGCCGTCGGGCGGCAGGTACCCGTTGCCCACGAACAGCTCCTTGCTGCGGCTGATGATGTTCGGGATGGCGCAGCGCCGCAGCATAGCGTCTGGCCGCCACGGCTGCCGCGCGCAGCGCATGAGCTCGTCGATCCAGTGGTTGTACCCCACAGATTCCAGCCACTTGTTGCCGAACGCCATGCGCCCCAAGGCCGCCTCGTTGGGGCCTGGGCACGTCATGCCCAACGCCATGTCGGTGGCCGCTGACCAGTAGTAGCCCGACTCGAGATCGCTCATGCCCAGGCACACGCACGCGTACGTGTACCACAAGCCGTAGTTGCTGTTCTTGTCGCATTGGAACGGCTTCGTCAGGTCTCTGCTGGCGATCGCCTCCGCGCCCAGCTTCCCCCCGCCCAGCCCGCCGGAGCTGAGCACTACCACCACCGCGCACAGCAGCGCCACGCGCACCGAGAGGTGTTCCATGATTCGTGGCCAATTAGCTAGGAGATCGCTCAAACGGATTGAATGCACAGAAGAATTGTGATCTCGTCCAGAAGAGTTGTCGTGTTCCCACTGATGAGTCTAGCCCTAAGCAAGCCTTCTTATGCATCCTTGGGCTCAGTGGAGTCGCCGAATCGTTCTGAGACGCGGCTCGCTGAGACCAAGAAGGAAGATGCGAATTCATGTGAAATGGCGACTCGTGAGGGTTGCGTTGCGAGAGGAGCAAGCAGAGGTTGCGGCAGAAAGGGACGGTTGATCTCCTGCGGGAGGTTGCCAACCGCTGTTCCGCAGAAAAGTTGGTTTCGAGTTTCGGCGGGGTACACTTAGTATCGTGAAGAAATATGTGTTAGTAAAATGTGGAATGAGATGAGATTTTTCTTTTTCTGTGTGGCAGAAATGCTTTCGATGCCTGCGTGGCATGATGTATGGTAACCAGCAAAAGAGACTCTCGTAGCGACATTCGTCAAAGAGCCCACTCCAGATGGCAAGATCTCAGCGCTGGTTTCTTCTTACGTGGCTTGGTGGCGGATAGGGCTCCGCGTTCCGCCCACCACCCTCCGCCACAAACTATTCTTCCAAACGCCTTCCAGCTGGTGGCTTTCGGCAGCTTCAGGGGCTTCAGCGCGTTCCCCGCGCATTGCACTACCGCTTTCCCGACTTCTCGCCTGTCACCTTCCGTCCACCCCGCATCTCCGATCCCGCCCACCACCCCCACCAGCCCACAGCGCCTCTGGCTCCCTGGCGATCTCCTTTCCCCCCATCGGTCGTACCCTGCCTTCCCTTCCCTCCACCACCACCACCACCACCACCGCTACTGCTGCTGCTGCTCTCTCCACAACCTTCTCTTGCTGTAGTCCCGCAGGCATAGCTCTTTGCTCCTAGTCTCCACGTCTGACTAGGTGATTCGCTGCAATGGCTGCCGTCGCTTCCACCATGGCCACCAGCCTCTCCGCGAGGAGCCTCAGCACCTCCTTTGTCGGCGGAAAGAGCCTTCGCTCGGCTGCGAAGCTGCCGTCAGTCGTGAGCGCCGCTAGGTTGGTTGCGGAGGCCAGGCAGGAGAAGGCCGTCAGCAGCTCGTCCGTCGCGTCCGCCGCGTCGTCCGTCGTCGAGGGTATCTTCGGCGAGAAGGCGACGAGGCAGATGCACCACGCTGCGATCATTGCGATGAATGCGATGATCGCCATGCCAGCGTTCGCCGAGGAGGAGAAGGGAAAGATCTTTGACTTCAACCTGACCCTCCCCATCATCGTCGTCCAGTTCCTCCTCCTTATGGTTGCCCTCGATAACATCTGGTTCAAGCCGGTTTCCACGGTCATGGATTCCCGCGACGAGGAGATCAGGAAGAAGCTCATCGGCGTGAGGGACAACTCGGGCGAGATCAAGGACCTGCAGAGCCAGGCCGAGGCGCTCATCAAGGCGGCTCGCGCGGAGGCGTCGGGGCAAATGAACGCGATGAAGAAGGAGGTGGCGGCGGAGCTGGACGCGAAGCTGCAGGCGTACCGGGCGCGCATCGAGAAGGAGCTCGAGTCGTCGCTCGCCAACCTCGAGACGCAGAAGGTGGCGACGCTCAAGAGCCTCGACTCGCAGGTGTCTGCACTCAGTGACGAGATCGTGAACAAGGTCATTCCCTTCAAGGCGTGATCCGTGTCGCACCATTGTACTTGAGTTAACCTATTATAAAGTCCACATTGTTTAAAACCCCATTGTTTGTTGGTTTGCAACACTGGGATGTGAGGGCCAGGCATGGCACGCCGGGCTGTGGGAACAGCAGGTTGCTGTCAGCATAGGTGGCTCTGCACAGGCATCCCTGTTCCGAGGTCTTAACGTTCACTCACCCCCTCACCATCACACTCACTCTCTGACTCGCTCACACACTCATGGACCTTGTACACTCACTCGCACACTCGCTCAGTTGCGCCAAGCTATGAGCAGCAGGGTGCTGTCAGCGCTGGCATCTCTATGCATGCACCCTGTGGACCAGCCTTAGGGTAGGCCTCACAGATGGAAGAACAAAAGAGCCCGGCTCTTGAAAGGAATGGCCCAGTATGCCTTGGTCTTAGCCATGTGCAACAGCCAAATGGAAAGGCATGTGGAATGGTATTGTATATGCATTGATAATTTCTAGTCAAGGGTTACAGAACCTTGCTCCAGCACATCTGCCTGAAACAAGGCATATCTCTGCTCTGCACTCCCTGGTACAGGTACGGTACCATCTTACAAGATGGAAGAACAAAAATGCTTGAATTGAAATCGCACTCCAGTATGGAGCTCAGTTTAGTCTAGGTTGCGTGCATTTGAATAATTGGATGCCACATTCATCAGGCCAATGTTTACAAAATTTGGCCCGGTAGTACGGTACTGCCAATGCACCAATCAGAAGCATGTGTGTGTGCATCACCTACAGCTCATCCTTCACCTCCTGTGACGACCCTGCTACCTCCCCACCGTCTCCCTCCAAGTCCCTTCTGAGCTCGTCCTCCTCTGCTCTCGCAGTCGCATCTTCCCCCACCACATTCCCTCCAGTCGCTGCACCAGCCTCCCCGTTAGCAGCTGTCTCAGCAGCACCCCCTTGCTTCTTCTCCGCCGCCCCTCTCTCCCACTCCACCGCCTCACCCCCCTCCCCCTCTCGCACCACACACGCATCCCACGAGGCGCGGCCGGCGCTCTCAGCGTCCTTGCGGGCGGTCTGCCACGTGGCGTGCACCGCCATCTTGTGGGGCGGCTTGGAGTACGATGCTATCAGCTGCAGCTCCTCCTTGCCGTCATTCACAATCTGCGGACCACGAAGGGGGGGGCGCGCGGGTGTGGGGGGAAGGTGGGGAATGAGGGAAGAGGTTGGGGGGGGGGAGGAGGAGTGCACGGCCATCTTGTGGGGCGGGTTGGAGTAGGACGCTATCAGCTGCAGCTCCTCCGTGGCGTCATTCACAATCTGAGGACCACATGGGCGGGGGAGTGTTGGGGGAGTGTGGAATGAGGAAAGGGGAGGGGGGGAGGAGGGGTGTGAGGGTGGGAAGGCAGCAGACGGATGCAGGTTGTGGCATGTGAGGATTTACAGGAGGGGGGGCTCAACGGGGATGGCAGAAGTGAATGGGGCTTGTAGGAAGCACAGTGGCCAGCTCACCAGCACAGAGACTTGTCTCACACGACTTCACCTGGCGGGCGCACAGCGGTCAGCGTACCTGGTGCAGGGCCTTGGGTTGGAAGGTAACGGTGGTGTTGCGCTTGACTGCATGCGCGGACGGCTCTGTCTTCTTCTCCTCCACCACCCACACCTTGCCCTCTCCGCGCGTGATCACCACCACCTCCTCCTGCCACCCCCACGCCACCAACAAGCAGCCCAACACAAGCAGCACAACAGCAGACAATGAGCGGCGCGCAGGATGCAATGAGCGGCGCGCAGGATGCAATGGGCGGCGCGCAGGATGCAATGGGCGGCGCGCAGGATGCAATGAGCGGCGCGCAGGATGCAATGAGCGGCGCGCAGGATGCAATGAGCGGCGCGCAGGATGCAATGAGCGGCGCACACCACACAGCCGAGGCGTGCTTGCAAGAGAGGAATTGAAACGTGGCGGATCAATCCGCACGGAACGACGAACGTCTGCACTGGTGACTGTGTGAGTATATGGGTGTGAGCGTATGGGGGCCGCCATGCCTGACCTGCGGGTGCGAGTGAATGGGCGTCTTGGCACCGGGGGCGAACGTCATCATGAACACCTCCACGTGTTTCAGCCCGTGCTGCACCTTGCCGCCCAGCGTGATCACCGCCACGCCCTCCATGCCGTAGCTGTCCTGATACAGTGTTCTAATCTCGCGCACCAACGGGCCGCGCGACAGGTCCTCGCAGTACGGCTCGGGATCCGCCGCCACTGCCGCTTCCGACGCCGCTACTGTTGGTGTTTCTGCAGCTGCGCCGGTTGCGCCTGCTGCCGCCGCTTCCGCTGTTTCCGCAGGTGAATGCTGTGTCCCGTCAGCCGCTGACGCGTCAGCAGTGACCATGATAGGCGACGCAGCGAGCGAAAGAAGCAGCGCGACGACGAGAAATTGTCGCACGGCAAGGCAAATGGAGTCGTGGGCGACGGTCGGAGCCATGACGCCGCACACCAACGCTCAAACGAGGCGAGGCGAGTCGATAAGGACCGCGGTGCTGAATGTTTTGGGCAGAGCCTACGCTGCGTTGATACGTCGATAGAGTCCCAGAGTTGTCTGGAGCGGGAAATGGGAATGGCGGACAATCGGCTTGCTTGACGCTGGCTGGAAGCTTCAAGAATTCCTCCACAAGTACCAGTTTGGATTATTTATCGGTTGAGAGGAAAACGTGGGAATACCGAGCACTAAGATAAGACAGCTTTGTAGCTAGTAACAAAGAAAGAAAAAATGTTGCTGAACAATGAAGCAACCTCATTCCTAGCTTTCGATCACATGCCATACGACTGAGCATGCAAGAGGAAAAGCGGATCACACCACAGCACATCATTCTCTCGACACACCCCCTTTCCATGTCTCTCCCGGGCACCAGCATTATCAACAGCTGCAGCATTAGCCCGCATCACTTCTGAGAGTACACTCTGCAGGATGGGATTCACAGGCATCTCCTGCAGCTTCCTCGCAGCTGCCTTGACCAGCTTCCTTGTCCTCTGCACATCCTCGGCTGCTGCTTGCGACACACTCGTTGCTGCCATGCACTCACTCCCATCCCCACTGCTGCTCTCAGAGCACTGCTTTTCACACTCCACTCTGCTCTTATTTCTCCAACCCAGAGAGAGACACTCAACATGCCCAGCTCCTGCAAACGACACTTTGCTAAGCGCCCACAACCCCAGCAGCGGCCGGATCAGAGCAGAAAACGAGTCCTGGTGAAACGTCGGCCCGCCCACCCATTTCATCGACTTACATAGCCGGGCAGCTTGGGCAGCCTCGGTGAAAAACCTTTTCGCAAAGACCAGTTTCCAGGTGGTGATTGTTTTGAAGAGCGCAGGGGAAGGCGGGCAGTGCTGCAGCGCTTGGTGCAGGTGCAGGCAGCAGAGGTGTGCAAGCAGCAAGGGCTCCTCATGGTGATTATCCACCTCTCGGTCAAACAGCCTCCGCACAAACCCCGGCACCGCCCGCACTGCTGCCGCTGCTCCTCCTGCTCCTCCTCCTCCTGCTGCTGCTGCTGCTGCTGCTGCTGCTGCTGCTGCTTCTGCACTCACTCTCGTTTCCCCATCTCTCCTCTTACTCTCCGCTGCACTCTCCTCCTCATGCTCTGCCTCTTCATCCTCGTCACTCACCAGCTCATCTCCCAGGCGATCCAAGGGAGTGAGGTGCTGAAAGCCCGAGGGGGAGACAAAGTCCGGGTGAAGCACCCAGGTCGCCAGGTGTGCGGGCAGCAGCGCGGGCGGGCAGGAGTGCAGACACAGCGACACGTGTGCCAGTGCTGCCTCCACTGCCCGCTCCACCTGCGCTGCCACAAAGGAAGAGGACACTGCTGCTGTAGTGGGTGGTGCGTGTGGGTGTGCGGCGTCAGCAGCGGCAGTGGTGGTGATGGTGAGGACGGCAGTGGCGAGGGACTTGCGGAGCGTCTCGTCTTCATCCTCCATCATGCGAATCACTGTCAGCCATGCCCGCACCACCACCCTCGCATACTCCATCACTGCACCCTCCCCTCCTTCCTCTCCCTCCCCACCCTCCTCTCCCTCCTCTCCCTTCCCTCCCTGTGCTTCACAGCGCAGCACGTGCCCCATTCTACCCGCCTCCAGCAGCAGTCCTGATGACACCACCGCCTCTGCTGCTGCCCGTCGCACACTCACCGGCTGGTGCGCTGCGCTCTGCTCGCCAATCAGCTGCAGCCACGTGGCAGCCAGCTGCAGCAGGTTCCCCGTGCCCCGGCCCTGGCCCAGGGAGAAGTCTCGTGAAGTGAACACCCCCTCCATTGACTGCTTCGCGCCCTGCTGCCGCTGCTGTCGTTGTGGCTGCAAGTGCTCCTGCTGCTGCCGCTGCTGTCGTTGTGGCTGCAAGTGCTCCTGCTGCTGCTCCCCTGCACACCCGCACCCAGGCAGGCGGCCATGCTGGGCGAGCAGCAGGCGGAAGCAGTGCCCCAGGCACCTCAGCGCCGCCTCCCTCGTTTTCAGCACGCGTGCCGTCTCAAACACCTCCAGCACCACCGCCCACAGCGCTGCACCCCCACTCCTATCGCTGCTAGCTGCAGCGCTGTCAGGCTCGTGGGAGGGGCCGCCAGGTTGCCTCGGCTCTGCTGTCCCTGCCAGTGGTGCTTCCTCGGGATGCAGAGCTTGAGGCAGCAGGGACATCAGGAGGGGCTGCAGGGAGGGCAGGGAGAGGGCGGGCAGCAGCACCTTGAGCAGCCGCCGGCACCTCATCTCGTCCCGCCCCTTCACACGCCTCTCCTGCTGCACCCCCTGCACCACCGCCACCAGCACTGCACCCACTCCGCCCTCGCTGCTGCTGCGGTGTGGCGCGGTCTGGAGCGGTGGCAGCAGCGGCGCGAGCAAGCGAGGGGAGGCGAGGAGGTGGGAGAGGGAGCGGAGAGCCGACAGCTGCACATCCCGACAGGCGTCTTGCACTGCCGACAGCGCCACCTTCCAGAACGCCCCCGCACTGCTGCACGCCCCACTCTCTCCCACCCCTTCTTCTCCCCTTGTATCCGCCTCCACCGCACCCAGCCCCTCCCACAGGCCTCGGCCCGCCAGGCACACAGCTTCTGGGGAGAGCAGCAGGGAGGCGGCGGTTTGCCTGAGAGCGAGCGCTGTGGGGTCTAGAATGGCGAAGCGGAGAGGCGGGTGGAAGGAGAAGGCCCGCAGGGCGAGCGGGATGAATGTGACTGCTGTGGCGTGTACCATGGGGGTGAGGGGCGGTGCAGAGGGGTGAGGGGCGGTGGGGAGAGGGGTGGAGAGGGGAGGGGAGGACAGGGAGGTGGAGTGGAGGGCGGAGGAGAGGAGGGCGGAGAGGGGAGGGCAGGAGTGGAGCGCGGAGGAGAGGAGGAGGTGGGAGACGGTGAGGTACTCTGCAACCACGGAGGGGCAGCAGCAGGCATGGGGATCGCCCAGCCACCGCCGCTGCTGCAATGCCTGCAGCACCTCTTGCACGCCTGCTGCCCTGCTGCTCCCCTCCCCTCCCCCCTGCTGCTGCTGCTGCTGCTGCGCCTGGCCTGTGGTGCCTGCAATCCAGTAGGCGGAGAGCAGGTGGCGCATCTGCAGCAGCACACCATGCACTGCATTGTACCCCATTGCTTCACTCGCCCTCCCACCCACATCTTCACCTCCCCTCTCACATTCCTCCTCCTTGTCCTCCTCACTTCTTCTCTCGACAATTCCAACCATCCCACCCCTCCTTCCCCACTCCTCAGGGAGGCTGCAAGCCAGCTTCAGCAGCATCCCAGAAACTTCCGTGGAGGCCACGATGGGAACAAGCGCGCGGGCGGCGAGCTCTCGGACGTGCATGCGGGGGTGGGCGGCGCACAGCGAGACGGCGGGCACAAAGGCGGAGGGGGAGAGGAAGGAGGAGGGCGAGGGGGAGGTGAGGGTGGAGGGCTTGAGGCGCGAGAGCAGGATGAGCGCAGGGGCCAGGGCGGGGTGCAGCGGCTGGGAGGAGGCGGGGGGAGAGGAGGCGGTGACACTGGAAGTGGCGTTGGAGGAGGGGGAATCGTCGACAGGGGGGTGGAGAAGATCACCAGGGGGGTGCTGAGCAGGTGGAAGGAAAGCGAGTGCAGCCTCACGGAGGTGGCGGAGGAAGAAGGCGTGCAGATCAGGGTAGCGCAGGAAGAACTCCACGGCTGTCATGCTCTGCCGTGCCGTCTGCTTGCACACCACCTGCTCCCGCGCCCACGGCCGCCCCGCCCGCGGCACGTTCTTGAAGCCCAGCATGCGGTGCAGCAGCGCCACCAGGCACAGCCCACCCGCATTGCGCACCTCCCAGTGGGGCGAGCGCGCGGCGGTGACGGCGGCTTGCAGGGCGGGCGAGCAGAAGGCGGAGGTGTCGGTGGCAAGGTGCGTGTCATGGAAGGCCAGGCGCAGCACGTTCCATGCATGCACCGCTGCTACCACTCCCTCCTCGCGTGCTTTGAGGGATAGCGCAGGTGCTGTTGCTGCTGCTTGCACCCCTTGTGCTGCTGTTGCTGGTCCTGGCACCAGCGCTTCCCCTGCCTGCTCTGCACGCCCACCTTTCCACTCTTCCCCTCCTGCCCCTCCTCCCACTTGTGCACCAATCCCCCCACCCTCCGCGACTCTCCCCACCCCACCCCCTCTCTCCGCCCCCCGCACCACCTCCAACAACCACGCCACAGCGCGGGGCAGCAGCACTTTGGGCGCCCCTTGCGGCTCGCCCAGAAACAGCCCCAGGAACGCAGCAGGCAGGCCGGCAGAGCGGCGGATGAGGTCGGTGAGGGTCTGGTGGGGCGCTGTCAGGCGGCGCTGTAGCGTGGTGAGCCAGGCGCGCGGGAGGGCGTTGAGGGCGGGCGAGGGGCAGCGCAGCAGGCGGTCTGTGAGCGCTATGAAGCCGGCCCGTGTCTTGTCGACCGCTCCGTTGTGCTTCATGGCTAGGAGGAGTGAGACGAAGTGATCTCCCACTTGCTGCGATGGGGGAGAAGAGGGGGGTGAGAAGGGGGTGAGAGGGGGGTGAGGGCTATGAAGCCCGCCCGTGTCTTGTCTACCGCTCATACACTGCACCGCACGCTCATACGCTGCACTGCACGCTCATACGCTGCACCGCACGCAATTACGCTGCACCGCACGCACATACGCTGCACCGCACGCAATTACGCTGCACCACCCGCTCATACGCTGCACCGCCCGCTCATACGCTGCACCGCCCGCTCATACGACGCACACACACTGCACCGCAAGCACATACACTCCATTCCAAGTGCAGGCAGGCACATACCTTGAGCTGCGCAGCATCCAGCAGTTCTCCCCCTCCCTCCACTTCCCCTCCCTCTCCCCTCCTCCCCGTCTCCCGCCCTCCCTCCTCCCCATCCGCCTCCTCCTCGCCTGCCCCCGCACGAGCCTGCAGCGGCACGGAGCGGGCGAGCGTGCCGAGGAGCAGAGAGACCTCCTTCATGGAGAGCCAGCACGCCACCATCACCATCTGCTCCACGGGCGCCAGCTGCTGCCCACTGCCATCGCCTGCACCTGCTCCCATGCCATCATCGTCAGCAGCAGCATAATCAGCAGCATCAGCATCACTGAGACCACCATCGGCATCGCTGCCCTCTACCTCCCCATATTCGCCTTCCTCCTCCCCCTCATTCTCCTCCTCTTGCCCCTCACGGCACGCCGCACTGGTCCCCTGTGCATCCTTGTCACTCACGCGCAACCTGCCCCCCTCCCCCACGTCCACACGCAACCCATCTGCTGCCACCACCCACAGCGCCAGCCCCGTCACCCGCAGCACCAGCGCCAGCACCCGCCGCAGCACCTCCCTCATGCCCCCTGCTGCATCAGCATCACCACCACCACCAACATGAGCAGCAGCAGCATGATGCAGGGATGGTTGGGTCCAGTCAACCTCTTCAAGCGTGTATCGGAGAAGCAGCAGCACGCCGTGCACGAGGCTGTGGCGGCACGCGCCTATCATGTCCCTCTCGCCCTCCTCCACCACCGCTGCCAGCCACTCGCTCAGCGACTCAAGGTACTCCACCACTGCCCCTTGCCCCCCGCTCTTGCTGCCCCCTGACTCAATAGCACAGTCAGCAGCAGCTGCAGGAGCAGGAGGAGGAGGAGGTGGAGTGACAGTAACGGTAGGAAACACCATCACTTGCCACCCCAGCCCCACGACATACTTCTTGAACACCAGCTTCAGCACCAGCGCGCCCGCATCACTCTCCCTCACCCTCGGGCTCATCACAAGCCCACACGCCCACTCCACCACCTCCGCCACCTGCCCTGCGCTCTCTAACCCCGGCAGCGGAGCAGGGTATTTGAGCAGCACCCCCAGCGCCGCCTCTCTCAGGCGGTCCCAGCTGTCCACCGCTGCTGCCAGCAGGAGGTGCGTGCTGCCGGGGGCCAGTGCACCGGGTGGGTAGGGAGAGAAGGTTGGGAGGTGTGGGGTGGTGTGAGGGGGCGGTGTAGCGGCAGTGTGGGGCGGGAGGAAGTCATGCGGGCTCCACACGTCCATGAGCGCGGAGAGCGTGTCCAGCGCCATGCTCTTGCGCTCGTAGGGCGCTGAGGGGTACAGCGACGAGAAGAGCAGCGCCGTCAGCCACTGCATGAACGCCTGCACCTCGCCCACGCTCGCCCCCTCCTCCCTCTCCTCCCCCTCCTCCCCCTCCTCCCCCTCCTCACCTCCTCCCAGAGCATTACCTCCGTTCCCTGCTCCACCTCCACCCAGAGCAACCGTTCTCTGGCGGCGAGTGACGGCAGCCATCCTCTCCTGCCGCTCCACGGCAGCCATCCTCTCCTGCCGCTCCACGGCAGCGCGAACGCGGGAGAAGAAGCGGCGCACGATGGAGCAGCAGCGCATGCGCAGGTTGGGCGAGGAGCAGCGCAGGTTGAGGGGAAAGGCGAGTCCCAGCAGGCGCAGCTCGGGGGGGGACGGCATGGCCGTGGTGCGGAACGAGATGCACAGCAGCTCCGCCACGTCCACCCGCACCGCCTCGTCAGCGTGCCACGTCGCCCGCTCCAGCATCCACGTCAGCACGGTCTGCGGCCCACCGGACCAGTCACTCCTCCCCGCCTCCTCTCCATCCGCCCTCCCTTTCTCCCCATCCCCACTCTCTTCCTCCTCCTCCTCTCCCTTATCCTCTGAACGCGCCCTCTGCGCCCTCATATCCCTCCTGCCACTACCAGCAGCCTCCAGGGGTCCATCCAGCACGCCCATGCCTCGCCCCATGCGCAGCAGCGCCACCACCGCCCCCACCCGCGCGTCCACACTCGCCCCCCACGGGTATTCCCCATGCGGCCCGCCCCTCACATCCGCCAGCTCCGGCCACTGCTCCCACACTGCCACCGCGCTGCCCAATCTATCCTCAACACCTGTTCCTCCGTCGCTGTGTGGGGGCAGCGCGGTGAGGAAGGAGAGGAGGGGCCAGAGCGAGGGGGGGTCGAGGGAGAGCAGCACGGGGAGGGCGTAGGTGGCCACGTTGGTGCGCTGCAGTGATGGCCCCGCCACCAGCCCGCACAGCACTGCCGGCATCCACACCCGCCGCCACGCCACGTCGCCTCCCCCCTCCCCTCCGCCCTCCTGTCCCTCCCCTCCTCCCACCCCTCCTGCTGTACCAGCCCAGCACTCCTCGCGGAGGCGAGAGAGGAAGGGGGAGAGGAAGGATGCGACAGCGCAGCACACGCCCTCATCGCCCATGGCTGCTAGCGCATCCCCCAACACACCCACAGGGAATCGCACGCCCCCTGCTTCTCCATCTATACCCACTGCAGCGCCCTCCCTCTCACCCCTCTCACGCCCCTCCGCCGTCCCGCCCTCCTCGCCCCCTGTGCGCCCCTGCTTGCTCAAGAGTAGCAGGCGGGCAGCACCGAGGCGCAGGGCAAGGGACGCCAGGGGCACGTACCGCCCCTTCCTGTGCGGCCCCGTCGCCAGCACCTCCTGAGCAAGCTGCTTTGCAAATTGCCGAAACTCGCCGCCCACACAGGACGCACCCGCCCCAGAAGCCACCTCCTCGTCCGTCCCTTCCCCTGCTGCTGCGTCAGGGAGGGTTGCTCCTGAAGCCACCCCTCCCGGTGCAGCAACCGGGTCCGCCTCTGCTGTCCCATTTGCCTCCTGCTCTCGCCCCTCCTCTGCCCCTCCTTCCTGCTCTTCCTCCATCATAAACCCCAACCCCTCCACCACATCATCCTCCTCCTCCTCTTCCCCCCTCCCTCTCTCCTCCCCATCTTTCACACCATCACCTACCAAACCAGCAGCATCTTTTCCCCTCATATCCTCTCCACTGCTCGTCTCATCCTCCATAACCCCCACGTCCCTCTCCCCACCCCCCCCTTTCTCCCCGCCCCCCCTTTTCTCCACGCACTCCACCACGTCCAGCAGCAGGTCCAGTGCCACGTGGGCCTGCCTCGCCGTCTGAGTCAGCGGATCCTCCCAGTGGCCCCACACAGCGGCCAGGATCCTATCCACACTGCCACGTGGCATCTCCTCATACGCCGGCACACCGCCATCCTCCATCAACTTGTCCACCAATTGGCTAAGAGGAAATATGTCAGCTTCCTGGATTCCTCTCACTGCTGCTGATGCTGCTAACACCTCCGCTCCGCAAATCCCAGACTGCCACGCGGCACGAATTCGAGCCACCTGGCGGGTGAACAGTGCACGGGAGGCAGCGCAGGTGCCGTCCAACAGGCTTGTCTTGATCTGGTGGAGGCAGATCTGGAGGGCAGTGAGCGCATGGAACTTGGTGTGTGCGTCGGAGGAAGCTTCACAGAAGGAGAGGACGCGGGGCAGCAGCCCGTGAAAGAGCAGCGACCAGCAGTGCACCTCCACTGCCTGGGGGGTCGCTGCCTCCCCTGCTGCACCTGCTGATGCTGGTGATACTAAACCTGCTGCTGTACCTGCTGCTGTACCTGCTGCTGTACCTGCTGCTGTACCTGCTGCTGTACCTGCTGCTTCAAGCGGCTGTGCAGGCACGGCCACAGGCGTGGGCAGCAGCAGCAGGAGGTGAGTGAGGGCTTGGCGGGGAACAGCAGTGAGCATGCCTCGGATGCAGCACAGCTGGCTGAACAGAGGAAACCTCCCCATGTTCACCAACCATGCATGCGACTGCCCTGCTGCTCGCCCCTGCCTCGTTTTAAACGCCTCCAGTGCTGTCAATGGGTCCACAAACTCGCTAGCAGCCGCTGCTACACCGGTTGCTGGCACTGCAGGCACAGCAGGGGTAGGACTCGCGACAGCAGCTGATGGCAGCATGGCAGGGGCGGAAGGGGAGGAAGAGGAGGCAGGGGAGGCAAAGAAGGAGCGTGCTAGAGCCACAGCCAGCCGCCCTTCCCTCCGCTCCTCCTCCTCCTGTTCGACCTTCTCTTCTCCTGCTGTTGCACCAGAGCTTGTTTCTGATTGGATGAGAGGCAGCAGAGCGCAGAGAGCGACAGCCGCTGCTACAGTGGCGTCTCTGGAAAGCACCCCCGTTTGTAGCACTCTCACCACAGCGCCGTGCACTGACAGCAGCTCCTCACACACGCCCTTGCTCTCAACACTCCCATCAGCCTCACTGCTCTCCCTGCGCCCATTCCTCTCACAGCCTTGAATGCTTCGCGAGCCTTGTCCCTGGCTGCTGGGAGGGTGCGAGGCGAAGCCGTCGTGAGTGAGGTTGGTGGGAGGGTGCGCGGCGAACTGGTGGGGGTAGCGCTGCAGCAGGTAGTAGAGCGTTGACAGCGCCTCCTGACACAGCTCCATCGTTGCTGGTACCACGTGCCCGCCCCCTTCCGAACCTGCTCCGGTTCGTACTCCCAAACCTGAGGCTTCTTCTGCACCTGTGCTCCTGCCCTCATCCGAGACAGGAGCATCAGTGCCCCCCTCGATGTTGTCACATTTGCTCCTCTCGCTCCCCACTACCAGCCTGTCCTTGCTACTGCCACTTGGCTGCATGTGGTCCACCACTTCTGCCACGTCTGCACTCAGCACGTGCGCCAGCTGTCGCGCCACGAGGCGAGCAGAGTTGTCAAAGGGTGCCTGGAAGGAAGGGAATGGGGACGGCGGTGCATGGGGGCGGATGGCACGAGTGGCTAGCATACGAGATGGTGTGGCATGTAGGGTGAGGGACGCCGTGGGTTGAAAGCAAGCGGGGCGGAGACACGGCATGCAGTGAAACAGAGACTGCAGTCACCCAGGGGGGGAGGAAGGGAGTGGGGGTGGTGGTGGGGGTGAAGGTTTAGGGCGCGGGAGGAGAAGGGAGGAGAGCGGAGGAGTTGCGGGGGAGAGGAACGAGTAGACTGCCATGAATGTGAATAGGAGTGAGAGGGAGAGAGGCGGAGGGGCGGCAAGCACAGACCTGGAACTGGGCGGCAAGCACAGACCTGGAACTGGGCGGCAAGCACAGACCTGGAACTGGGCGGCAAGCACAGACCTGGAACTGGGCGGCAAGCACAGACCTGGAACTGGGCGGCAAGCACAGACCTGGAATTGGGCGGCAGTGATGGACGCTCCTGCTGCAGCTGCAGCGAACTGCCGCCTCTTAGAACCACCAACGCCGTACTCGTTACAGCACAACGCGATAACAATCTCCACTATCGCCCTCGCTCTCCCTGCAACACTCTCCCCATCAGCCTTTCCGTATCCCCTCCTCACTCCTCCGCCTCCAAACCCCCTCTCTGCCTGGCTATCCCCCGCACCTGTCTCTCTCTCGGCTCGCTCGCCCCTTTGTTTCTTTCCCTTCCCCTCTTTTTTCCCCTTCCGCCCTCCCCCTCCGGCTCCGCCCTTCCCCCTGTCCCGCCCGGCTGCGCCATCCCCATGGAGCGCGAAGATACGCACGAGCGCGGAGAGCAGCGCGCGGTGCAGCGGGCGGGAGTTCTCGAAGAATAGAATCTCCAGGTACACGCGGGTGGCTGGAACGGCGGTGGGGGGAAGGACGAGGGGAGACGAAGAAAAGAAAAGGTGTGAGACTGGGAGAAAGAAAGCGGGAAACAGGGAGGCTAACTGGCATGGGGGCGAAACGGGTAAGGCGCAGAACGCTGGGGGTTTAACGGGGTGAAGCGAAGCAGAGAACGGGTTCTAGCGGGGGACAAAGGAGGTTCTAGCAGAAAGCAGGCTGATCTCTTCCCACTCTAGTCCGCTAACAGCCAGACCCAATCAGTGTGCGGAGAACCCGCACAGAAATCGACCTACCGCATCGCGCCTCCACCTGCTCGTCACATTCCCACCTGCTATGAGCTCCCGCTCCTCTGAGCCGTCGCTGCTGGCGGAACCAGTCGCGACGCCACTGATCGCATCACGCCAGCGGACGAATAATGCATCTAGGGAATCGGAGAGCTCCTTAATATGCGGAATCTCGGCGAATGTCGATCTGAACCTGGTCAGCTGCAGCAGCGCGCTGCCGAACCGCCTTAGCTCCGCCGATCCGGGTATTGCACTCGGAGGAACTACATCTGAATCTCGCCGCAATGCTACCCCGCCGGCATTTCTAAGCGAGTCAGCTTGTAGCGAATACAATCTATTATAAAGCTCCGGCTCGTCTGGCACTTCTCCAAGCGAAAGAGCTGCGGCTCGCGAGGCGTAACTTGGCGGAAATGCCGTTCCCGCGTCGGACCATCGCTTCCGCTGCTGCTGGCGACGGAACTTAGACGCCATTGCCTACGACGAGCGCAAGGCGACGCATGCGATTCGGAACGACTAGAATTGATAGCAGCAGAGTGAACAAGTCAACAGGTCTTCAGACTGGCATTCCAGAATCTGATTACTGATCCGTGGGCTGCTGACTGAAACTGATGTGGGTGGGTCGAGTCGTTAATATAAAACTTGATGCTGATAGTACACACAGTTTACAAGTTCATTAGGCTGCACCTACATATATTCCAATAAAAACAAATCAATGTCATATAAGTTATCAGCCGCCCCACCCACCCCCCAATACAGCCTCAAGTTTGAGAGAGTGATGCTCTACAACCACGAATAAATTATTCCCCCAGGAAAACAAAAAAGCCTAAATGTCAGAAAGGTGGCTTGACAGCACTATCCCTTAGCACCAGATGGGCTGCCCCTGATTGGGCTTTCATAACCCTTGATGTTCTTCTTGGCATCCGCATGTGAGGCCACAAATTGCCGGCCGCCAAGATCGCATGCCGTGATACCCTTGTTCAGAGGACCTTTGTGGTACACAATGTTCTTAATATTCGTCTCAGCTTCCTTCTCCTGGAAAAACTTCTTCGACTGCAGCACAGTGAATTTCAAGGACAAGAGTGGGAAAAAGCAGGTGAGCAGGGCACTCAGCTGAGATAACCCCAGAAGGTACATGAACAGACCTTGGATAATAGTCCAGCAAAGCGTAACAAAACCTGTAGAGGCGTCAGTACCGAAATTGCAGTGTGTGATGGGAGGAGGGACTACAGGCAAGTTAAACAGAATCACAGTGTCTCTAAAGTACCGTACCAAGGACTTGTAGCTGTCGGAGTTGCCGGCCTGCACGCCCATGCGGATGTTGCCCATGTCATAGTTAGCGCCGCCCGCCATCTTCAGCGTGTCATCAATATCCTTCTGCAGGCCCGCCAGGGCCTCCCTCTCATATAACTGCTTCTCAATGTGGAAACCCTGTCCGTGGGGGAGATAGCGCATGAAGAGGGGTTGCCAGTGAGTGGGAGTGTCGATGAATAGTTTATTCAAATTGAGGAGAAAACATGAGGTACTTTGATGGAGAAACTGCAATTTTCTGGTACGCATTCGCAATTTCTGACGTTGCAGCTCCGCCTGAGGTTCTCTGAGGTGAATTGTAAGATGGTTCACATCAGTTTTGGAATGTTTGTGGAGAAAATGTCGAACGGCATGCTTAAACAGCGTGCGTAATATGGCATGTGTCAGCGTGTGCCAGAGGCGCGTGTCAGTAGCGTATGTCAAATGACATGTGTGAGTAGTGTGTGTCAGAGACATGTGTCAGCAGTAGCGTGTATCAGTAACGTATGTTGAGCCATGTGTGTGATGACAGCTGCGATGGCATGGCCGCATGAGCCCGCATTCAACGACAATCTACATAATGACGCCGCAATGTTCAGCATGAGTCACGGGTGGGGAAACGCCGTGAGATCGCACAGCCCTCAATTGAGACCTGGTCAAACGACTGTCCTTTATCCGCGTCAAGCTTACCTTATCAGCCGTTCAGAACGGTCACTGGACCAAAATGTTTGCTTCACACGCCTTATCGATACCGGAACAAGCGCCAAGCGCCAACTCTTTAGAGTATGCGCCCTCTGATGTGCGAAATCCCCGTAAAGCGCACCTTAAATAGAGTCGCGCAGTCCTTCTTGTGAAGAGCGACCTTCCCCTTCTTGAGCGGCGACGCGCTCTCGCCGACCCACGTGATGAAGACGAACTTCACGCGCTTCGAGTCGCCGCCGTCGTCCATCTTGACCAATCGTAGCAAACCGTACAGAATATTGTTGTCCTCGCACTGCGTATGCACAATGCGCGCCGATCGAGGAAAACAGGGATAATCAAATGAAAAAAAAAAAAAAATTCCTCGAGTGAGCTAATTCCTGGAATGTTCAGGACGATGGCAAGGCCACGGGATGCCAGAAACGGCGATGTCTGGAAAGAAATTAAGGTGAGAGAGACAATGCAGGAGCCTTGCCACGAATATAAACCGTCTGACGAAATCAAAGGTCGAGCTTTTAAAGATGTGAACATCAATTTCACCTTTGTAACCATGTCGTTGACGTCGCCAGTGCCGGTCCCCGCCGGGACAAGGGAGTTGCCTTCGTAGCCTAGCCAGCACCATGTTTCAGGTGTGTCATCTGAAAACACGGCAAGATATGCCTCCGTGCATCCCGGCTTGAACAACGACGCCATCAACCGAAGGAGGTCAGCAGATGAGGGAGAAGCGCGATGAGGTCAGCAGCACTTCTGCTCGTTCAGAGTTGCAATTTCCAGTTGATTCGTGCAGGGTTGCAGGTGAATGATCAGGGAGTCCTAGAAAATGATAGTTCGACAGAACCAGCTTGTGGGGGGGAGTGAATGAGAGGTGGATTCAGTGAGTTTGTAGATAGTTGAATGAATAAGCGCCATGGCTGGCGCAGCTTCTCATACCACCAGCTGGACCGCTGGAGGGAACATGGGGGAAGAGGATGAGATGAGATGAGACGAATTCCGGGTGGCACGGAGCGGAAACGAGAGGTGCGGAAACCTCGAGAGCGCCCACGCGCGGCCCTTGGGGGAGGTGCGGTCAGCCTGTGATTGGATGGGGCGATTGGAGAGGCGCAGAAGGTCCCCAAAACGGAATGGGACTGGTTGTTGGGATTGGAGAGGTGGTTGGGCAAATGTTGGAACTTTTGGCAAGCACGTAGCGACGGCCTTACAGCGAATTCAATATTTCAGCCTCCTCTAAGGAAATTCCCTTTTCCTTACTTCGCGTCCCTGCTCAACGCGTACATCACTGTAGCACCTCAGTCAGCACCGTTACCACTCGCGACCATCGCATCATTCATCATCCCGCCCTTTTTCGCACATCGCATCCCGACCTCACGGCTCGGCTGGTAACCCGCGCTCCGGACCTACGCTTCGACACTTTCCCAACCTCAGTCCCAGGCTCGTCGCGCGACCATTACCGTTACCAATGTAGTTTCGCTATATAATGTTCGCTCATGCCTTCGCTCATTTGTATTCTTGCTTCGATAGTGCAATTCTCGTTCGTTCACTCAATTGCACTCGTAAAACTTGGTATCAGAGCCTACGATCTCATCTCGGACCGCATCCACACCTTCGCTTCCCACTATCTCAATTTTTTGGGGGGATAGACGTCTCTCAGCGACACAGCACCGCCGCTCGTAGTGCTCTCTCGAAAGCACGCACGGCCACGACCGAGGCTCTCGCTCAGCTTGCCCGACACCCCCGCCATGGCCGATTTCAATCTTGCCACGTCGACGCAGGAGCAACTCGATCGTCTCGTGCGTCAATTGGAGGATTCGGCGCTCGAAATCGCGACTCTCATGGCGGAACGTGACTCCGCCCGTCAACAGTCAACGGTGAACGCACCGACGACATCACACGCACCAACCAATGCATCTGCACATTCGGAGGAGCCCATCGTCATCTCATCCGGCACACCAACGCAACACAACAGCACGGGACAGCGCTCAGGCGCAGCCAGTGACGGCGCAGCCCAACCGATGCCCGGCATGGGAGGGAACACGAGCGCATTAAGCCCACGGGAGCCCCGAGAAGCCCGTCGGCACGTGGAGTTTGCGGCGACAAGTGGCGAGAACGCCATGATGGCCCCAATGCCACTCAAGCCGCAACGCCCGCCCTGCTTCGACCCAAGCCAACGCGGCGGCCCGACAGTTCAATCGCGGGTCTTCACGATGAATGTGTTTTTCGACGCCAACTACGTCGAGTCGGACGCCGCCAAGATCCGGTATGCGGTTTCACTACTCAGGGGCCCCGCCATGGACTGGTGGCGAGTCATTGTGACGTCGCCGCGCGCCTACGAGCCACCGTCGCACGAGGAAGGGCCCTCAGGTCCAGCTGTTACCTGGAGTTCGTTCCGCGAAACCGCCCAATACAGCACGTGGGATGCGTGGTGCGCAGGGCTTCGGGCGCGCTTTGAGCTGATCGCGGCCTCGATTTCGGCGCGTCAGAAACTGCGCACTTGGCGCCAGCTCGGGTCAGTTCAAGACTACACCAGCGGGTTTCTCGCACTTTGCGAACAGGTCGGCTACATGCACGAGGCGGAGCGAGTGGACCGTTACGTCGGAGGGCTGAAGCCGGACATCTCGCACGAGATAATGCTACTCGGGCTCTCGAATTTCAACGAGATCCTCGCGCTCGCCGAGAAAATCGATATCCTACGCCGACCGAGACCGGGGTCCTATTACGGACATCGTCCTCGGGGACCGACCGAGCACGCCACGGTACATGCCGTCGCAGCGAATGCAGCTGCCGCGCCGTTTAGAGGGCGCTGCTTTGCTTGCAACCGGCCGGGCCATCGCAAGAGCGAATGTCCAGAGGAGCTGAGGCGTCGAGGAGCAGAGCAGGGGAGGGAGTCTCAGAGGCAGGGAAATGCCAGCAGTCAGTAGAAGTTGGGCCAACTACTGACGAGACTGCCTGCTCGCCCAACCACACCGACCCTCACCGAGTCATAGTACCGATTCACGCCATCGATCGGGCTCGGATGAATAAGGAGGGTACAGCGACGGATTGCCCGGTACTGATCTACGGGAAAATACAGGGAGCAGCAGTGAAGATCTTCATTGACGGAGGAGCAAGCCACAGCTTAGTTAATACCGCAACCGCACAAAAATTACAGTTAACGCTTAACCGATGTTTACCTGAGATAGATGCACGCTTAGTCGACGGCACGCCCCTGGCCATACGGGAAAAGGTGGAGCGCGTAAAAGTCCGCTGCGGGGGGAACTTCGGGTTTACACAGGAAATGCTCGCGACGACACTGGATGGGCACGACATTTTATTGGGACGTGATTGGCTGCGACGGTACAACCCACGGATCGACTGGACGACGGGGAGCTGCACAGTGCGAAGTAGTGGTAACTGGGTCGTCCTACCTCGATGGCAGCCACCTGAATCTTCGACGGTCCAGGTCAACGCCATCACGATGAAACGGGCTGTCGCTGCTGGAGCTGACGTGTACGCAGTGGATATCGCACTCGTAGAAAAAGATGAGCAGCCGAGTGATTTGGAGAAACTGCTGGCAACTGTACCGACCGAACTACAGGCACTACTGAAACAGTTCCCGGGGATATTTCCGGATGATTTACCACAGGGACTGCCACCTCAGCGGGCGCACGACCATAGGATCGAGTTAGAACCGGGGGCACAGCCAGCTGTACAGCGGCAATTTCGACTAACACAGCCCGAGCTCGACGAGTTAAGGAAGCAGTTAGATTACCTGTTAGAGAAGCAGTTTATCCGACCGAGCTCGTCACCGTTCGCCGCACCGATACTGTTCACACCGAAAAAAGACGGAGGGTTCCGCATGTGCATCGACTACCGAGCGCTTAACTGGGTAACAGTCAAATCGCGATACCCCATCCCCCGCGCCGACGAACTGATCGACCAACTGCGAACAGCACGAGTCTTCTCGAAAATAGATTTACGGGGAGGTTACCATCAGATTCGGGTCGAACCATCGGACTGCGCCAAAACAGCATTTAGGACTAGGTACGGGTCATTCGAGTATACAGTAATGCCATTCGGGCTGACGAACGCGCCTGCGACATTTCAGATGACCATGAACGAGGCGTTTAGACCACTTTTAGATAAATGCGTGATAGTTTACCTGGACGATATTCTAGTTTACAGCCGGGATAAGCAGCAGCACTTAGTGGATCTTGAAGCGGTTTTTAAGGTTTTGGAAGAACATCGGCTACTCACCAAGGGCTCCAAGTGCGAGTTTTTTCGGGACAGGCTAGAGTTTTTGGGTCACGTCATTTCGGAGGCTGGGGTTGAGATTGACCCAAAGAAGCTGGATACGGTAAAAGCGTGGCGCCCCCCGACGAACATCACGGAACTGCAGAGTTTTTTAGGTTTTGTTAATTACGTTCGCCGGTTCGTGCCCGACATGGCACGTTTAACAGCCCCACTCACTGATTTAATGCGTAAGGGGGTCGCTTTTACGTGGGGGGAGAAAGAGCATGCTGCCTTCTCTGCCCTGAAAAACGTTCTCTGTTCACCACCCGTTCTACGCATCGCTGATCCCCACCGCCCTTTCGAAGTGGTTACCGACGCAAGTGACATCGCCATCGGAGCTGTACTGCTACAGGACTTCGGCGACAGCCTCCAACCCATCGCCTACGAATCACGCAAACTACATCCGCCTGAGCGAAATTACCCGATACACGACCGCGAAATGCTCGCGATCGTGCACGCATTCAAAGTGTGGCGCTGCTACTTGACGGGCGCAGACGTGACAGTTCGGACAGACCATCGATCTCTACAGTACCTCCGCGCACAGCCCCACCTCAACCCACGACAGATTAGATGGCTCGATTTCCTCGAGTCGAATTTTCACTATACGGTCACATACAAAAAAGGAGCCTCGAATATCGCCGACGCACTGACCCGCCCCACTGCCCAGATCCACGCGATACTACTCGCCCAGACCAGCTCGCTACTGACAGGCCTATTTACCCACGGATATCAAACAGACTCGTTCTTTACAGGAGGCAACTCACAGCAATTCGCAGCGGCAAAAGGAGTCTATTACGTAAAAGCTGGAACCGACCGCATCTGGGTACCAGGATACACGCTACTGCGGGAACTACTGTTACAGGAAGCACACGACGGAGTTACCTCGGGAAATTTCGGGGTAGAAAAAACACGGCAGCAGCTGCAGCGGTACTACTAATGGCCAGAAATGTTGACCGATGTGCAACGGCACGTGGCATCGTGCCCCACTTGCCAGCTCATGAAGTCAAGCAGGAAGCGGCCGGCGGGACAATTACAACCCATCCCGCCCCCAGAGCGTGCTTGGCAGCAGGTGACGATGGATTTTGTCACGGGGTTACCAGCTGGGGCGAGTGGGAATGACGCGATCCTGGTCGTCGTCGATCGACTAACGAAGATGGCTCATTTCGCAGCATGCAGGAAATCAATCACAGCCGAGGAAACCGCCCGACTCTTCATCACCACCGTCGTTCGACTGCACGGGATACCCGCATCGATCATCAGCGACAGGGACACGAAATTTACAAGCAACTTCTGGCGGAACCTGTGGCAGCAGTTCGGCACACGCTTACAGTTCAGTTCATCCTATCACCCCAAAACCGACGGACAGACGGAACGGACAAATCAGACCATGGAGCAGTTGATTCGAGCCACGTGCGACGATCCGAATACGTGGGAACAGCAGCTGCCACTCATCGAGTTCGCATACAATAACGCACCATCAGCCACGACGCAACAGTCGCCGTTTTACTTGAATTACGGACAGGACCCAACAGTACCCATGACACCGAATCCCGACAACCCCGTCCCACGAGCATAACAGTTCGCCGAGATTCTGCAAGCAGCACGGACCTGGGCAGCAGAAGCAATAAAAAAATCAAACATCATCGCTAAACGCAACGCCGATCGCCATCGCAGACCCGTTACTTATCAGCCCGACGACCTCGTTTTACTCGACACTAAGAACCTCCGCCTGCCCATCACTCCAAAACTCCGCCCTCGATACTGTGGGCCATTTCGAATCAGTCACATGGTCACGCCAGTCACCGCGCACCTCCTCCTCCCTGCTGACTAGTACGTCAGCCCCTCGTTCCACGTCAGCTTACTTCGCCCTTACGTGCCATCCACCAGCCAACTCCCACGACATCGACTCACCAGCATGACACGACCACCAGCCGAACCAGTCATCACCCCCGACAAGATCCTGAGCCACAGAGTTCGCGACCCTCGAGGAGCCCGAAGAGTGGAGTTCCTGATCCGCTGGAGAGATCGTACCCCCACCGAGGACAATTGGGTTCCCCTGGAGAAAGTTGAAACTCACCCCGTCGTCACCGACTACCTGCGTAGCCGCAATTTCCAAGACATCCACGCGCTTTCATAAGGAGGACCTCCTTAGGAGGGGGGGTAGTGTAAGGAAATTCCCTTTTCCTTACTTCGCGTCCCTGCTCAACGCGTACATCACTGTAGCACCTCAGTCAGCACCGTTACCACTCGCGACCATCGCATCATTCATCATCCCGCCCTTTTTCGCACATCGCATCCCGACCTCACGGCTCGGCTGGTAACCCGCGCTCCGGACCTACGCTTCGACACTTTCCCAACCTCAGTCCCAGGCTCGTCGCGCGACCATTACCGTTACCAATGTAGTTTCGCTATATAATGTTCGCTCATGCCTTCGCTCATTTGTATTCTTGCTTCGATAGTGCAATTCTCGTTCGTTCACTCAATTGCACTCGTAACACCTCCAAAAACGTTACAGAGCCATCTACTTTTGAGGTTAACGGGAAGAAGAATGTTGAGGGGAGGAAGAATATGCTACTAGAATGTTGTGGAGAATTTTCGCGACTGGTAACCAATCCGAGTCGTAACCTCACACAATGCCGTCTGTGCTGATGTCATCACGCTGCCTGTTGCCACGTGTGCTGACGTCGTTGGCGCGGAGGGTGCTGCTGAGGTCATCGCCTCTTTGAGCACTGAGTGTGCTGAAGCTGGCCTTGCTGATGGTATGTGTGGGTATGGAAAAGCCTGCCGGTGCAAGGGAAAAAGAGAGAGAGCAGATAAAGGAGGTGTGTCGATTTGATGATACTTAAGGTGAATCTGAAATTAATATGTTGGCTATGTGCTCACCAGAGTGCCCCCCTTTATAGTCACGGTGACCATGTCGATCGTCTTTGTGTAATATCGCACATCAGCCCGCACACATCGCGCCTCCCGCTTCTCAAGATCGAGGGAAGTCACCAGGAAGGTTCGCCCCTGCTGCAGGTACTCTGCACCCTCGTACAGCTGGGCATGGGGAGATGAGGGTAAAGGAATAAACAACTTGTTAGGCACGGCACCGCACGGCTACGAACTGCATGACTGAATCCACGTGACCGAACTCGCGAATACGTACCGCAGAGAATGCCTTGCTCTCTTCGATCTCCTCCGGCACCCTCCCAGTCCTCGCCTCCACCACCGCATACGTGTTTGGGTCGATCGCCCGCACCGGGACAAACAACGCCAGCCGCTTCCCCGCCCCAATATACCTCCACCCACAGTCCACCTTGGGATTCTCCGGACTCCTCCCGAGCGCACCCCTCCCTGCCAGCTCAGCAATCCTGTCGGCCAATGACGGGCCAAAGAACCTCCCATCCACATCCTCCATTAGCGGCATCTCCGCTGCATCACCAGGGGATTCTCGCTGCAGCTGCTGCCGCATCACCAGGGGATTCTCCGCGTCCAGCTGGAAGCGCTCGATTGGCCGCGAGAACAGCCTGTCAGGAGCCGCCATGAAGTACTGATCCAGAGGCCCGTCGAAGGCAACGTAGATATAAAGAGACGCCTTTTCCCTGTGGCCTGCCCGGCTGGCCTGCTCCCAGAGGATAGCGGTGGAGCGGTGGAAGCCGAGGTGGAGAGTGGCGTCTAGGGTACCCACGTCCATTCGTAGCTCCAATGCGCTTGTTGCTGCCACGGCACGGAGGCGCCCGTGGAAGAGCTCTCTCTCTATGCGCTGCCGGTCCTGATGGGATGGGGGAGTGAGTGGAGCGGGTAGGAGAGGGTACGGAGAATGGCTCCTGTGAGACGAGCCGCAGGTGCTGGTGGCAGCGGTGGGATGGATGCGCCCTGCCCTGTGGCGTGCCCTGCCCCGAGGGAGGTGGCAGTGGGAGGTGGCAGTGGGAGGTGGCATGGGAGGCAGGAGCGGGAAGACTTGTCCAGTATGCTTACCAAAGGATGAAGACACTGTGTTTGGCTCACACAAGAGAGGTAGGTGACTCGTCTTAGCAGTGTACTTAGCACAGCAAGGCGTACCAATGCTGCTACACACACAGACTGACCTGAGCGGTGTACTTAGCACGGCAGCTCCCACACTCCCTGCCACGTCAGCTTCTGTCATATTGCCAGCCCCCAGCATTGTTCCACTGCCCTCGCCTATATCATCTGCCCCATTTTCTTCCCCGTCCCAACCCACCAACGCATGCAGTGCTCGCAGCTGGTCCTGAGCTAGAGCCTTTTGGGTTCAGCGACAGAGAGGGGTGGGCAAAAGAGAGCATAAGAAATGAAAGATTAGGTTGAAGATAGGTGAGGAGACTAGCAAGGAGAATGTTTGAGGGGAACGAAGTAAAAAAGAGAATTACGTGCGGGGGGATGCAAGCGGGGAGTTGCATGCAAGGAGGTTACGTGCAGGGAGTTGCATGCAAGCGGCGTCCCTGGCGCCTCACAGAGGAGCGGCGCCCGCCTAACACCACAGAGGAGTGGCGCCCGAGTCACACCACAGAGGAGTGGCGCCCGAGTCACACCACAGAGGAGTGGCGCCCGAGTCACACCACAGAGGAGTGGCGCCCGAGTCGCACCACAGAGGAGTGGCGCCCGAGTCACACCACAGAGGAGTGTTGGTGTTAGGCCCCAATCTCACATTTTGTACTTGTACTTTTATATCCTAGTTTAGTGTACCTTGCACTTTGTGTTTGGTTGGGTGTACACCCACATCCCAATCAAACCCAAATGTAATCTCTAAGCAATCTCCAACCCACCAATTGGAGATTGCCTTGGGATTACCCTTGATTCCCTAGGATTGCCTCCTGATTCCCTCCTCATCCCTACCTTGCTCATTCCTGATGTACTTAAAGAGCTTTGAGCTCACTACTATAGTATCGATTCTAAGCTCAAGTTCTGACATGGTATCAGAGCAGCTCAACCGCATACGCGGATCGTGATCCTCTCATCTCTGCGGATACTTGTCCCGCAAACCTCGGGGAAGCCATCGCCAATCTCGTCGCCGTTGATTCGCGACATTCATCGGCGGAATTTCTCCCGCCACATCTTCCCGTCACCATCGACGGAAACTTCTCTGGTAAGCGCATCGTCGGCGCTTTAACCTAACACTCGCTTTCATCAATTCGTCACTCTCGTCACTTCTTCTCCTCGTCGGGCCGCCGCCCGTCGCCCTGCAGCTTCTCGTCGGGCTGCCGCCCGTCGCCCTGGAGCTTCTCGTCGGGCCGCCGCCCGTCGCCCCGCAGCGTCATCTTCGAGCTGCCGCCCGTCGCCCCGCATCTGCACTCCTACCCCCATCCCCCCTCTTTCCCGCAGCTGAACAGGCGTAGCCGCGAAGCCGAGCAGCCGTGTAGCCGCGAAGCCGAGCAGCAGCGTAGCCGCGAAGCTGAGGGTGGTGTGTGGGGGGGTGTGTGGGAATAGGATTAGTAGGTAGTTGACACTAAATTGGCGTCTCAGTCAAATTCTCCTTCCGAAACCCTAAACCTCAATATTCTCTTTCGTAAACCCTAAACCTCCGGTTCTTCAAAATCTCCTTTGGAAACCCCAAACCTCAAGTTCCTATCGGTGACTTAAAGAGCGACGCTCCGCGCGAGAAGTTAAGGGGTCTCCACCATGGCTTTCTCGTCTTCCACCATGGCGAACCCCATCACCCCGCTCCGCCTTGAAGCCGATGGCTCTAGCTCCAACTTCAAGGCGTGGAGCTACGGAGTTGACAAGCACCTCCTGAGCCGTGACGTGCAGGGCCTTGACCTCAAGGACGTCCTCCTCAACCGTGGCAAGGGGAAACAGCCCACTCTTCCCCGTGAACCGACCGAATCTTCAAGTGATGCTGACGTGATGACGTACGAAGAAGTTGTTGAGAAGTACCGGAAGTGGGAGAAGGCCGATGCTGCCATCATCAGCGTCTTCATTGCCTCCACCCCTCCCGAACTTGTCAACACGTTCCACAACTACCCTACCTCCAACGCCATCTGGAAGTATCTCCAGGATCGGTTCATGAACAAGACGGCGGTCGGAGTGGCGATTCTCATCCCCAGCATGTTTCAAGTCCGTCTTGAGGACTGCTCAGGAATGGCTGACTACATCGCCAAGGTGCAGACCATTCATGGTGAACTCAAGGAGCTGGGTATAGTCTTCCCCGAACAAGCCCCTGCAGCCGCCCTTCTTGTTGGTCTCTCCTCGGCATATGAAGTCACGAGGAAGATGCTCCTCACGCTCTCAGCGGAAGACCTCACCTTTACTAAGGTCTCCACCGCACTCCTCTCTGCCGAGAAAGACTCCACGGCTCAGGCCAAGGCATACGCCATCCGTGCTCCCATGCCCCCAGCAAGTGTTGCAGCGGCCCTTGCCTCGGCGCCTTTCCAGCGCAACCGCTTTCCTCCGTGCACCTACGTCGTCAAGTATGGCAACCGCAAGGGACAAGTGTGTGGTGGCACTAACCACCCCCTTGCCACGTGCTTCAAGAAGAAAGACGACGAGTGGTATGCCATCCACGGGGTTGACAAGAAGCCGCCAAACTGGATGCGCGCTCGTAAGGCCAATCTCGTTGAGGTCCAGGACCCCTTTTCGGCTAGTGCTAGTGATAGTGCTCCTGTTGATGTGCGTATCAACCTGTTGTTTCCTGGCACTGCCATGATTAATGAAGCCACTTCCCAGTACATCGACTCATCACAGGCACCACAGTACATAGAGTTCACACTCGACAGCGGGGCCACTCACACTGTGCTCAAGGAGACACTCTCCTTCAAACCCTATCCAGCACCTATCCCTCTCTTGGGAGCTGACTCCAGCTTCACCACCCTAGCCAAGGGCACCTCCACAGTCCCATGCCCAGCCTTCCCTTCCGGCACCGTCACTGGCATGTGCGTGCCTTCACTACGCCACAATCTAGTGGCTCAAACAGAAATTCAGAAAGCAGGGCTACGCACCATCTTCTCGGAGAATGAGGACCACTGCGACATTATTGACCCACTCACCAACAAGGTCTTGGCCCGCTTCACCCTCAATAGCAGCGGCCTCTACACGCTACGCGTTCCTCTCCCACAGGTTTCAACCTCCCAAGCACAGGCTCCCATCACACCATGCACATGTCGCAGCCTCTCCAACCCGACCATCCTCTATCATCATCGGTTAGGGCACCCAAACTTCCGCACGCTTGCTGACATGGCCTCCAAGAAACTTCTTCTCGGCCTGCCAGCCACACTTCCTCCACCACCTGACTCACCCGCTCCCACGTGCCTTGATTGCACCAAGAGCAAACTGCGCCAACAGCCCCACACTGCCTCACCCACAATCGCAGCGGCACCACTGGACCTAGTGCACATGGACGTCTGGGGCCCTGCCCCTGTTCTTGCACGAGGTGGATATCGCTACTTCCTAGTTATCGTGGATGACCACTCACGATACGTCTCTGTTCACCTCCTCCACACTAAGGCTGAGGCTCCAGAGGTCATCATGGCATGGGTCAAGCAGGCACAGACCACCTTTGACCGCAAGGTCAAGCGCCTTCACTCGGATGGGGGGGGTGAATTTTGCAACGACAAGCTCAAAGCCTTCTGCTCCTCCGAAGGCATCCAGCAAAACTTCACCCTCCCTGACAGCCCTCAACAGAACGGCATAGCTGAGAGCCGCAACCACACCCTAGTGCAGATCACTCGGTGCCTCCTCAGCCACTCCAACGCTCCACACTCTCTCTGGGGATACGCTCTCTACCACGTCGCCCTCCTCTACAACCTTTACCCCCATCCGCACCTTCCCGACACCACTCCAACCACACTCTGGCTCGGGAAAACGCCCACTGCTCGCTCTCTTCGCGTTTGGGGATGCACCGCCTATGTCCTCCTCAACCCTCAGGCTCGACGCCAGAACGGTGGCAAGCTCGGTCCCAAGACTCAAACGTGCATCTACCTTGGGCACAACGCCGACTCACCTGACTACCTCTTCCTCAATCCCTCCACTCAACAGTTGGTCAGGAGCCGCGACGTTGTCTTTGATGAGACCCGCCCATTCTACTCCCCTTCAGGACGGGACCCTCTCCCTGATCCACCCTCCCTCGTGTGGGCAGACTTTGACGCGCCTCCCGACCTCCCGCCTGCTCCTGCCCCCTCACCTCCTCTCTCTCCTGCCATCCCACCATCTCCCTCTGAGGTCTCTGACCCGGCCTCACCGGTGTCTTCGGCAGCTGCTCCGCCCCCCCCCTCACCTTCCTCACTTCCCGCTGCACCGCCCCCTCCGAGCGCACCTATCACCTACCATCGGCGGTCCCACCCTCCGGCCCCACCTCCTCCCCCAGTTCCCCCCACCACAGAGGAACCCGCTCTCCCACAGTCGCCCGAGCTGATCACGTACCGCCGGCGGCCCATTCCCCCACCCAAGCCTCCTAAGTCACCCTCTCCGACACCGCCTGCCCCACCCTCCCCACCGGTGGCTCATGGCACCCGCTCCCATCGCGCTGCTCTTCCACTCGCAATGGTTCTTCGATACACAACGATCACACCGCCTCCTCCTGCTAGGGGGGATGTGCCCTCTACCCTTCTAGAAGACAGGCATGAGGAGCTGTATGATCTCCATGCAGTCATTCCTCAGCTCTCACACATCTTCCCCGATATCACTGGCTCACCCTCCCTCAACCTCGCGGAGAACCCGACCATCCCTATCCCTCTCACCGTCCAAGAGGCTCTCTCAGGCCCTCATGCTGCCGAATGGCGTGCTGCCATGGACGCGGAGATTGCAGCATTCACTCGCAACCACTCCTTCGACGACGAGACTCCACCTCCAGGAGTCAACATCGTCGGGGGCAAGTGGTTGTTCCGTGTAAAACAGCTCCCAGACGAGGCACCGGTGTTCAAAGCGCGTTACGTAGCCAAGGGCTTCACCCAGCAGCGGTACCGCGACTTCGACTTAATCTTCTCCCCCACATCCAAACCTCCCACCATTCGAACGCTCATGGATGTTGCAGCTCGAGAAGACTTTGAGATCAAATCCATGGATGCCTCCTCCGCCTTCCTACAAGGACGTCTCAAGGAGATAGTGTTCATGGACAGACCAGAAGGCTTCCCAGGAGAATTCCCTCCCAGCACTGTCTGGAAGCTGAATCGCCCCGTCTACGGCCTTAAACAAGCCCCTCGCGAATGGCACAAC